TGCATGCACCATATAGGGACATGTACGTACACCCTGCCACCCGAAGGGTTGCACATCTGTGTACACTGTGCACACCCTCCCAGGAAACTGAATGCAGCCAGGGCCTGCTCAGCCGTATGTCCTCGAACACTTGTGGTCCTCAGCCTGTGCATTTACACAGAGCTCTCCTCACCCAGGCTTGCCTGTTCACACGTGTTGTACACTTAGGCACATCTTGCACACATGCTCATTTACACCAGTGAGAATGTAGCCCTGCATTCTAGGCCTTGCACTTATGCCTGTGCCCTATTCTTGCCTGGATCTGCTTGAAGGAGCAGGCAGCTCTTTGCCATCCATCCAGCAGTATTTATTGAGCATTTACTGTGTCCCAGGCCTGTGGCAGATGCTGGGGGTAGAGGGAAAGAAAAGTGACATGGTACCTGCCTGGACCCTCTCTCTCTTTCTTGGATGCCTGGTGCTGCGTGTCCTCTGGTCCCCAGCCATCCTGAGCCCTGCTTGACCTGCCCCACAGGCTACCTGCCAGGCAGGGGGATGAGGAGCACTGAGATACAGTATGGGGAGGGGCTTATGATCACCTGCCAGGGGTTCGCTTCCCAGGAACCCTGGCACCTGTCTAAAAGGATCCTGGGGACAAGGCCCAGCTGCAGTCTTGTTTTGAATTGGTTGCAGAGCTGGATGGCCTCCAGCTGTCAACAGAGCAGCCCTGGGGTCCCAGGTAGTGGAATCTTCTGCAGGTCTTCCTAGTGTAGGAAAAGGCTCCCTTAAGCCTTGGGAAACTTACCAAGGACAGTTAATGCTCACATCTCCCGAGTCCCTCCTGCACACCAAGTTCCATTCTACGGCTTTAACCTATTGAGGTGTGTAGTCCTCTCAGTAACCCTGTGGGGACACCACTGCCATCCCAGTTAACAGATGAGAACTGAGACTCAGGGCCTTTGTAATGATCCCAAGGAGCCAAGCCCTGCTATTGGGTCCCAGAATCCAAACTGTTAACCCCTGGGCTGCCACATTGCCCCTTTGGGCGTCCAGGGGCCCAGGGTACAACTTCGTTGGGCCCCTCAGCCCCTGGAAGAGGGAATGAGGAGGGGGCTTGGAGGGCTCCACTCCCTTGACCCTCACCAGCACTTGGCTTTGGGGAGGTTAGAACCACCCTAGGCCTCATTTTGGACCCCAAACAAGGAAGAGATTATCATGGAAGGCAAGAGGGAGGAGCCTTAGGTGGGGACTGGGGGGTGAGAAAGGCCCAGGCAGCCTGGGCGTCCTGGGTACATGCTTTACATAAGTCCCTGCGCCACTGAGGGTGTTCTGGGCCTCTTTCTGAATATGTGCTGTATCTTGAGATGTTCACAGCATCTACTGCACGAGGTCATCAGGAGCCCCAATGAGAAATGCTCTGGAAGCATCTAAGGGCACCCGGCAGGGAAGAAGTACTTAGTTTCTATCATCATCATCCTCGGCCTGTGGGCATGGGAGCGGGGTCCCCAGCGGGCCTGTGTTCATAGTTTGTAGAACATTCTCTCGGCCCTGTGTGGGCCTTGTCCCTAGGTGAGGGCACCAAGGCTCCCAGAAAAGGTCCACTGCCTGGGGCGTCTGTGGGTGACTGGAGGTGGGGTCCCAGAGGGTGAAGGGATCGGGCAGCACAGACCGCAGCCCTTTCCCACTAGAATCAGCTCTGCATCGCCACGAAGACAGCCCTGCCCAGCCTTGGCACTGAGGAGACCCAGCCGAACTGGATCCAGCACCCTCAGGAGCCCTGCTCCTCACAGGGGGTTCCCGGGAGCGAGTTTCCAAGGCTGGCCTGGCCAGGGTCTTGGGGATAGGGTGGGGTGCAGCAGAGGCGCTCTAGGCTGCAGGGAGTGGAGGTGGGTGGAGGGCAGGGGGTCCATGGGAGGTGGATTTGGAGCTGTAAGGGTCTCCAGGAGCTGGGAAAGCGGGACACCTCAACTTCTCCTTCCTAGATGGCCTCCTGCTCATCCACTCCAGGCCATCCTCTGGCCCTGTCAGGACCCATCCCTTGAAACCCTTGACCACGCCCTCCCCACTCAGTCTTCAGGGACCCATGGAAAGCTCCCTGTTCTCGCTGATTCTCTTGGGTGCTCCTTGAGCACACGGTGGTCTCCCATGGCCCTCATGGCCTGTGCTTGGCTCTAGGCTGCAGCAGTGGCCCTATCCTTGGGTCACCACTGATGGGGAGACAGGAATATTTAGGGTGTGAGAGGTTGGGCTAGAGAGAATGCAAGGGGCACAGGAATGTAAATCGGGGCCACCCAGTTCCTGTTGGGGGAAGGTCAGAAAGTGACCTCTAAGTTGAGGCCTGAAGGAAGAGCCAGCCAAGCTGTGGGGCCCAGAGGAAGTATGGTGACTCCCACCTAGACCCAGGCCCAAGCCCCTCCTCAGAGCTCACAGCTGACGGGGGCCTGGTCAGACATCCAGGCCATTCATAAGAATGGGTGACATCTGAGCTCAGAATTGGTGACAGGGGTCTAGGGGGATAGTTTGGCCTCAGGTCAGTATAGGATAAGGCACGATGCACAAGAGCAGCTTGTTGGAGGACCTGCCAGTGGCATACCTCGTGGGAGAATGTGGCCAGCAGGACCTTCCTGGCAAAAACCTTGAGTGTCTGGCTGCAGCTTTAGACTGGACCCCCAAAGCATGGGAACCCGAGAGGGATTTTCAGTGGGAGAGCGAGTAACCTGGGCAGGCTAGGCTGTCCCTTGGCCTGTCCTCGTTTGAGCCTCTGGGTGAGATGGGATGGGAGCCCCTTCCTGACGGCTCGCCTGTTGGGGTCGAGGTAAGCCTGGGCTTTACTGTGGGACTTGAAGCAAGTTGCTGCTCCTCTCAGAACCCCAATCTCCTGGGTCAGTTTGCAGGACTCCGGGCCGGAGTCCTTTCTGGGGCTATGGGCTGGCCCCAGAGTTTTTGTTTTGTTAAAGTTTGCTGAAGCTTTGCTTGTATTAAAAAGTATTTCTTTAAAAAGTCTCATAGTGCTGGGCATGGTGATGCATTCCTGTAATCCCAGCAACTCGGGAGGCTGAGGCAGGAGGATCCAAGTTTGAGACCATCCTCAACAAGTTAGCAAGACCATCTCAAAAAAAAAACAACAAGGTCTAGGGAGGTAGCTCAATGGTAGAGTGCCCTGAGCTCAGACTCTAATACTGGAGGAAAAAAAAAAGTCACATAGCCACTGTGTAGAAAAACCGTAATATAGAGAAATGAAATAAATCAACCCTACCCCCATCTCTGCCCCACTCCAGGATTCAAAAACTACCACATTAGCATTTAGATGTTTTATAACCTAATTCTTTCAGTTTTTATAAAGATGTCATTGCTTTATTTATAGATATAAAATTTTTCAATCTTCTCCATGAATAATTTTTTTGTGTTTTTCTAAATAACTGCAGTATTTTCTAATTCTTCTTGTTAATGGATCCAGTGTCGGGGTGGAGATCCTAGGCTCAGAACCCAGTGGCCTGGATTCAAATTCTACACTCAATGCCGGACCCTGGGCGAGTCACCTAATCTCTCTGTGCCTCAGTTCCTGATAGGTCTATGTGAATGTTGAAGGGGTCCGGAGGATGCCAGTAGCACTGGCTCTTGCTAATGACTGTCGACTACGATGCTGAGCCACACGATTAACAGACCCATCCCCCTATTGCTTAAAAGTTTGGCTGTTCCAGATTTTTGCTGCTGTGAAACCACAGAAGCAAACAGCTTTGTCTTTCTTTGGGTTATTTTCTGAAGATGGATGCCCGAGAATGGGATCACTAGGCCAAGAAGTCTGAACCTTTTTAGAGCTCTTGACACGTGATGGCCAGATTGTTTTCAGAAATGATTATTCCAGTTTACACTCTCACGGATAATACATGGAAGTGCCAATTTCACCATACCCTCGCTGGCATTGGGTATTATCATTTTCTTGTTTCCTTTTGCTCTTTTGACAGGTGAAGCTCATTTAATTTTCACTGCCAGGGAAGCAGAAGCATTTGCTGTGTTTATGAGCTGTTAACCTCTGTTTCAGGTCTGCTAGGCTTTACGGAGACTTGTAGCCCTTCCTCGGATCAATTAGGAAGAGATGCTTAGATACAGGAAATAGAGAACAGTGCCATGCAGGGGATGGCATAATGGGTAGTGGGGACTCAGAGGAGGTAGAGGGGCTTTCTTATAGCCAGGCCCTGACCTTCCAGCTCCCTCACCCAAGCATGCATGCCTTCAGACCCTTACCAGACACCACGTGGCGTTTAAAAGGTCAACACTCAGCCGTGATGCTTCTCTGATGCACTTGAGTCCAGCAGCAGAGAAAATACACTGAGCGGAGTGAGTGAGGATCTGGTGATGGAGGCGCAAGGTACAGGGAACAGAGCCCAGGGTGGAGATGGAGCAGCCCCTGTGGGCTTCCAGGAGGAAGTGGCCTGTAAACTGGGGCTCCCAGGAAAAGTTGGGATGAACCAGGGAAATGGGGAGAGCAGAAGGTATCAGGGGGGAGGGCACAGCCTGCTTGGAGTTGAGGAAACAAGAAGAAAAGTGGAGTTCCAGGGGACAAGGAGATGGTCTGGGCCATGTACAAAGGGGAATGACAGGCCACAGAGGTCAGCAGGAGCTGGCTATGTAAGATCCAAAGAACCCTTAGACTGGAGGGAAGTAGGGAGCCATGGGAGGCTCAGTAGGGCAGCCCATGACTGCAGTGGGAGATGGAATGGAAGATGAGGGTGCAAGTGGTCTCTTAGCAACAGCTGAGGCCAGAGCTGGGGGGGGGGGGCTGGACCTGAACAGGGGAGGGGTGACTTCCTGTTTCCTCCGACCTGTAGACTCCTAAGCAGGCTCACAGTGCTCAAAGCATGTCACTTCTTTCAGGTAGCCCTTCCAGTCACCTACTTTCCACGCAGGTCCTATATGCTTCGGGGGTGGGGGCTGTGGGGGACTTGGCACAAGTCCTACATGCTTGGGGGGGTGGAGGGTGGAGGGTGGGGGCTGTGGGGGGCTTGGCGCTGGCGCCCCTGACCTTCCCCTGCTCCGCCTCCTTCATGCCTCCAGACCCTGCATCTGCTGCCCCCCTCGGGCTACCAACCACTTTCTTTCATTTTTTTTAAAGAATAAATTTATTGTTTTCATTATAAAAGTAACTGAATGACATTACTGAGAATTGGGAAACCAGAGAAACAAAGACAAAAACCCAAAGCGGCGGGCGCCTCCCCGCCTGCCTACCCCCTCCTCTGGGCGTGGCTCCCTGCAGCTTGCTTTTTCTGACGCAGGTTTTTATTTTTGCCTCCTGGTAATCATAGTGTCCGGACACTTTTGGGTCCTGCGCTCTCGCGTTTGCTTTGTTGGGAGCAAGTTCCCCTGTGGCCTGGGAGCCCTGGGCAGGCTGCATTTTTTAATGTCTGGGGCTGGGGTGGGGGGGCACGCGTTGCTCAAGAGCTCCCCCTGCTCCACCGTGGGCGAGGCTCCTCAGCCCCAGCCTGGCCGCCGGCCTCTGTGTGTCCTGCTGTCTGGGTCTGAACCTTCCCACACTGCAGGGCCTGGCACCTGGTGTTTCCCTCCCTCAGTCCCCCCTCCCTAGCCCTTTTGTGGAGTTTCCCGGTTGACCTCAGAAGCCACCCTCCTGGGAAAGGGTGTCAGACAGACCTGCTTTCAAATCCAGACTCAGCTCTGGAACCTCAGGCAAGTTGCTGAACCTCTCTGGACCTCACTTTCTTCATCTGTCCAATGGGTTCACTGAAACAGTAAAGTAATGGCTATCATTATTCCACCACAGTTCCCAGCGCATTTTAAGTGACCACCTGGGGTCCAGTTGTGGCACAGCTGAGTGAGCACCAGCCCCGCCTGTGACAGGCTCCGCAGACTGGTGGGGAAACAGGACTACGTTTGGGTGGGATGGGCCCTGTAGGGCTAGACCAGATTTGGGTGAAATCTTAACTCCCTCACTTTATTAGCTGTGTGACTTTGGGAAAATGGGTTGACTTCTCAGAGCTGCAGTTTCTTTTTCTATTAAGTGCACATCTCAGAATCATTGGGAGGATTCAGGGGCCTGAATCATACTCAGGACACCCAGGTATTGAAATCGATAGTAGCTGCCATTTTATTATGATGATTGTTATTGTTATTCCCATATACAAGGTGCTGTTGGGAACACAGAGGAAGTGACTGACTGGGGGTTCAGGGAAAGCTCCGTAGAAGAGGGAACACTTGAGCTGGGTCTTGAAGGATGAGTAGAAGTTCACCAAGTGGGAAAGGACACTCTAGGTAAGGAGCCTGATTTCAGGCTGCATCTGTCATTGAGGGGTTTGTTCTTTGGGGGATTAAGGCATTGTGTTCATCCTCATGTCCTGAGCCCCCCTCACAGCTGCCCTGGGGGAGGTGTGTGCTCCTCCCCCTCTGCAGCAGCCTCCTGTGTCCTGGTGGCTGTGGCTTCCTGCTCATGGCAGTTGCTGTGTCCCTGTGGGTCCATGCTGTGTCTGTCCTGTGTGTCTGGTCTGGTGCTGTCTGTCTGCATGTTGCTGTGACCATGTTTGACCACATCGGTATCCAGCGCTCTCCCAGGCCACTCTGGGGAGCAGCCTGCTTCCTTGGCCTCCAGCTCTAACCAGGCCTCTTCCGCCCAGGGGCTGCCCCTGCCTCCCACCTCCCTTCTCCAGGGCCTCCTAACGGACTCTCTGGCTGCCAGCCTCTTCTGCACACAGCAGGCCGAGGGGTCTTCCTGTCCCATCACCCACTGCTTGGAGTCTCCACTCCAGGCCTCCTGGGCCTGTCCCCGCCCCGCCCATCTCCCAGTGAGCACTCCCCATACACCTTCCCTGCAGGCCTCTGCTGAACTGTCGCTTCTGCTGGAATGTCCCCACGTTGTCTTTGCCTGGCTAACTCCCGCTCACCCTTTAAGACCCAAGGCAGGCCTCACCTCCCCAGGGGAGTCTTCCCTCCCTTCTCCAGGCTGGGTCACCCCAGGCTCCAGGCTGCTAATCCCTCACTTGGGGACAGGGGCAAGTGACCCTCCCCTCAGATCACACAGCTGGTGAGTTGGAGCCAAGATTTGAATCTGAGCATTTGGGCTCCAAACAAAGCAGGCTGTTCCCTGGTCCCAGAGGAGGTGCTAGCGACGGGACTGGTGCATAGGAACGGGGTTTTAAGGAGATCCTGGCAATGAACTCCTCAGGACTCCCGACCACTCCTGGTGGTGGTCTGGGGTGGGTGGGGATGGAGAACAAGAGCTGTGGTCACTGAGCGTCTGTGGCAGGAGCATCTGGGCAGATGGTGATGTCCTGCTGAAGGTAGGGTAACTAGAGGAGGAGCATGCCTCGGAGGAAGGCCAAGTGCACTGCAGGCCTGCTGAGGCCGAGGGAGGGAGCACTGCACGGTGGCAGAGCTCATGGTGGTGGCAGCAGCTCTTCCTTACTGAAGCCACCGGTCACCTGTGTGCCCTTCCATGTAGCGTAGGCAGGCAGGGCTCCACTCAGGTTCCCCAGCAGTGGCCCGTGGCTTAGCTTGGTATTTGGCATGGGTAGCTGGACAGTGGCTGGAGGGCCAGCAGCCACCAGGAGCAGCTCCCAGGCAGGCCATTCATCACCCATCCAACTTTTCACCTTTCAGAACAAGAGAAACAAAATGATGGCTGGCGAGCCCGTGCTGCGGCTGGGCTTCCAGGATGCCGTCCCTGTTTCTGTCTGGTGCTTCAAGCCCCTCCCAGTTTGCCTGTCCTTCCCAAGTGCCAGTGTATGGCCACTGTCCATCTGGGCATGGCCGCTCAATCCTAGCTGCCTGCCTGCTCTACCTCCCCACCCCGGCCCCTGCCAGGCACCCAGGCTCTCCCTGACCCTGGCAGTCCCCTGTGCCCAGATGCTCCCTGAAGCCTCCGCACCACTGACATCTGGCTCGTCCTCATGTTCAGCGTGGCCTTTGAGGCCCTGCTGGCTGGCACGTGCATCCCTCCCACCTCCTCATTTTCCTGCTCTTTGGGGCCCACTGCCCAAGCCTGTTGTGTGCCGCCACCTCCATGCTCTGCTCGAGCTGCTGCCTCTGCCAGGAATGCCCTCTGCCTCATCCATCTGCCCCGAGCACACAGCTGGCCGCACCTGTCTCCTGCTTCACACCCCCCACAAGACAAGGCCGTAGTAGCTTAGCCTGGCTCTGTCTACCTTCCTCCTTCTTCACCTCTTGCCAGGTCCCAGGGTGGCATAGGGACCTCAAAGGCTTGTTGGGCACTCACTGTGCACCTAGCAGTGGTTCAGGAAATGCTCTGTCCCTGCCTCCCTGCATCTGGCACATAGGAAGTGGACGCCAGAGCCAGGGTCGTTGACTAAATCATTATAGTACCTAGCTCCCCAGCCAGACGGGTGCGGATGAACCAGGTAGGGGCTGCACAGATCAAAGTGACCCGGGGCAGACCCCTTCCCTCTGTGGGCCTGGATTCCCAGTAGGGTAAGCAGTGGTCCCTGGTGGACTACAAGCTGATGAGTAGCAGCTCTGGACCTTAGGCAAGCTCCCTAACATTGACACTGAACTAAAGGGAGGAGGGGTAGGTGGCTCCCCCAGAACTGTCTGAGGAGCAGCCTGGTACAGTGGGTAGTGTCCTGGGCCAAGGATGGAATGAGGTAGGGCAGCCTCTCTCACCCCATTTTGAAGATGAGGAAAATTGAGGCTTAGAGGGCCGACCCCCAACATCGCAGCACTGCTGCCATCTCCATGACCCAGAGCAAGCAACCTCCCTACTGATTCCCTGGTGTGTTACTCTGTGGAAAGGGGGCAAACACCCTTCCCTGGTTTCCATCCTCCTGGGGTTCTGGAAGTTATGACAGTGGGTACAGAAGGGCTTGACAAATTGTGCACAGCTAGAGGATTGTGTGGGATTGTCTTCAGTGATTCTGATTAACATTCCTTCATTTACTCATTCTGCTGTGCACCTCACATTATTGATAACCTCTGGGCCTGAATGCTGGAGATACCCAGACAAACCAGACAGTTCCCAGGCTCCCCTGTCCCCCCATCTCACTGTCTCCCTTAGCCCTATCTTTGCTCACCCATAGGGTCACAGCCATGCTATCCTGAGGGAGGGTACATCCACAAGCCTAGTCAGGATGCTTTGTCCTTTCCCTAAACAGCTAAGGGACAGAGGCACTGGACATTGAATCAGGTAGATTGGAGTGGGAGTCTCAGCTTTATGTGCTTACTTGCTGTGTGACTTTGAGAAAGTCACTTCTCTGTTGCAAAATTGGGATGATGAGTATCTGTCAGTGTGCTTGCATAAGGTAGGCTTTTGAGGACCTGCAGCCTCCTCTCTGCTATTACTTTGAGATTTTTCTGGGGAAGGAGAAGCCCCAGGGATTTGCAGTCCCCAGGATTTGGAACTCCAGGCAGGAAGTATTTCTTGTGTTGGGCTGTAAGGAGTGGGTAGGGTTTGGATGGGCAGAGGGAAGGGCATTGTGTGAGTGGCAGGAGCGGGAGGCTGATAGAGGGCAGGAGCTGCCTCAGACTCCCATGCTGGCCAGGCTCAGACCAAACCAGCTCTAGGCTGGAAGTGAGGGACAAAGATTTTTGCATGTAGGTATTGAGTTATTTACATGTGAGTACTCACTCTACCAAGGACTAGGGTTTGCAATACAAATTCCCCAAAGGAATCAGCTTGAGAAAATCTGATCTCTAGTTTGACCCTGGCATCACAGCCCTGTGGTTGTGGACAGGTCGCTTCCTTCCCCTTTCTCCAAGCCTCAAGTTTCTTAACTATAAAATGGAAATAAATCAGGTGCGGGGTCGTATGTCTATAATCCCACTGACTTGAGCGAGGCAAGAGGATCAGAAGTTGGAGGCCAGCCTCAGCAACTTAGCAAAACCCTGTCTCAAAATTAAAAAAAAAGAAAGAAAGAAAGAAAAAAGGCTAGGGATGTAGCTTAGGGGTAGAGTGCTTGCCTGGCATGTTATAAGACTCTGAGTTCAATCCCCAGTACTTGAGGGGGAGGGAGCATTATAACTCTAGTGCTGCTTTTCAAATAAAGATCATAAGAGATAATTTATATGAAAGTTCTTTCTTAAAATGTTCAGATTAGGGGATAGGGTTGTGGCTCAGTGGCAGAGCACTTGCCTAGCATGCTTGAGGCCCTGGGTTTGATCCTCTGCACCATATAAAAATAAACAAATAAAATAAAGGTATTGTGTTCATCCACAACTAAAAAGAAATATTTTAAAAAATGTTCAGATTAGTTCATGTCCTTATTGAGTGTTTTATCCTGAACTCTATGCTTATAATTCCAATAGGGACTTCTCAAGCTCATGGGACCTGAAAAAGAGGTTGAAGGCTCTTTAATTTGGCCTTCCCTCTCAAAATAAAGAATTTTATTTAAGCAACAATACCAGGTAGCTAAATAATTTCTGTAAGAAAATTAAGAGAACTTGATAGGGAGCAAGTCTTAATGTGATATGTCTGTGCAGCAGGGTCCCTGTAAGTCACTTCTTGACTTACTCTAGGGTCACAGAAGACTCAGGCCCTCCGGAGGACTGAGATAGCACTGACGGCTCACCCTTCCTACAGCCCTGGTTGAAAAGGCCTTCTAACCACACAGGCCTGCCATGGAACTTGCCAGAGTGAGGGCCAGCAATCAGACTGTCACACACTTTGCCTAAAGAGCCCCAGACTCCCTTAGCCTCAGGCCTCCAATCCCTCCTTAGGTAGAGCATCCTGATGCACATCTTGTAAGTCAAATGTGTCCACCAACTCCTGTTTCTAGATAGCTTTCCAGAAGTACTATTTCTTTGTCAAAGGACAGTAATCATTTGGATCTCTAAGTCATTCTGCCAAACTGCCCTCCAAAAAAGCTGTATCTGGTGACCCCAGTTTGTCCCCTGAAGAGGAGGCCTTTATTCAAAGGAGCAATGGACAGAAGGGCAGGGATAGGGGATGGACAATTGCTTCTGCTTTGTGGCCATTTACAAAGTTGCTGCGGGACACCCCAATTTATCTCTGGATGGGGGGAGGGGCCTTTTGTGTGGAATCCATGGGGTTGGTTCTGCAGCTTAGGAACCTACTGGGGAATGGAGATTTGTTGGGGTCTGGGGGTGGTGTCCTGGGAGTGCTCTGGTCTGGATGTGACCTTTGCCCTCTGGGGCCCACTGAGGGAGATACTAAATTCCAGTATTATGAGCCTGAAGATGTGGTTTCCCTGGGCCCCATGGAAGGCCTGCTCTTCTGGGTGCCAAGGGAAGGATTCCAGACACTGGCTCCGACTGGAGTGTGCATAGCTCCTTGTGACTGTCGCTCTCTCCCCGCAGGATGGCCGAACCTCGATTTAACAACCCCTACTTCTGGCCCCCTCCTCCCACCATGCCTAGCCAGGTAAGACCGACATCGTCCCTCCAGTTGCACCCGGCGTTGCAGCCGCTTCACTTTGCCCGGGTTTGGTCTGTGCCCTGCGGGAGAGGGACTCCCGATTCACAGGGGGACGGGGTCCAGGGAAGGGGCAGGGTGCGGCCCAAGCCCCCTCAGCAGGTCTCCTCTGTCGCTCATAGCTGGACAACCTGGTCCTAATTAATAAAATCAAGGAGCAGCTGATGGCGGAGAAGATCCGGCCACCTCACCTGCCGCCCACGTCGGCCTCGTCACAGCAGCCGCTGTTAGTGCCACCCGCGCCCGCTGAAAGCAGCCAAGCTGTCATGTCGCTGCCCAAGCTGCAGCAGGTGCCCGGGCTGCACCCGCAGGCCGTGCCGCAGCCAGACGTGGCGCTGCACGCGCGGCCAGCCACCAGCACGGTCACAGGTGGGCAGCCTGTGGTAGGCTGGGAACGGGGCGGGCCTTTGGTGGGCGGTCCTTGGCGGGGGAGTGGGCGGGGCCTGGGTGGGCGGAGATTCTGGTTGGGAGTGGGCGGGGAAAGGGCGGATCCTGGGAAATGAGGTGGAGGCTGGTGAGGCCTGGGCAGATAATTGGTCAGCTGAGGGGGCAGGTCTGTGTCGGCTTGGAGAGGGCGGCATAGGTGAGAACAGGATGGGCGGGGTTGGGGGCTGGGAAGCTGAGGAGTTAGGGAGAGAAGCTTGAGGTGGCTGTGGGAGGGGGGAGGACTAGCCATAGCCATCAGACGTCCTCTGACCCTGTACTAGGAGGACTCTCTTCTTCCAGTGGACAGGAGGAAGGCTGGGGCTTGCCAGGGAAGCCAAATCAACCTAGAGAACCTTGAGACTAAAGAGAAGAAACTTGATCAGATTGGGGGGACAAGAGACTTTCTTGGTGGAGCCACATTGCAAGGTTGACGGCAAATGAGGGAAATGGAGCGGAAGGAATGTGTGTAGAAAGCAAGAGAAGGCTGTCTGTGTGGGTTGAGGAGGACCAGGAGATGGTGATAATGATGAAGGGGTCAATGGCAGCTTACTCCCGATAGCTTCTGCATTTACTGATAATCATTTTATTACCCACCTCAGCCTGTGCATTGGACAGATGCTGTTAGTATTGGCTTGAACAATGGACTGTTTTTGATTTACAAAAACAGTAATTTCATGTGCTTCACCCTAATGTCTCCATTCAACAGTTTAGCAAACCAAGCTTTCATGGCTAGGAAGAGGCATGGCAGGCAGTGTGTTCCAGGGTCCGAGTCTTCTCAAAAGAAGTAGGCATCGGATAAGGAAGGCTCAGCAGCTTGGACTTTACCCTGGTAGTGGGGAGCCACAGAAAGGTTTTATGTAGGGGAGGGGGTTGCTCAGCTTTGGGTTTAAAAGCTGAGTCTGGCTGCTGCGGTGATGTAAAGACTGGGTTGTTGGGGACAAACATGGAAGTAGGGAGACCTTCAGGAGGGCGGTGATGTGAACCAGGCAATGATAGTGGATATGGAGAGAAGTGGGCAGATGTGAGGAGATTGAGAAAGAAGAGTGGGCAGGGCCTGGTGCTTTCCAGGATGTAGGGGGTGAGCACAGGGAGGACGGGCTGGAGACGACTCCTGTTCTGTGGCTGGGATGGAATCCACAGAGGAAGAGGTTTATGAAAGAGCAGAGCTCAGTCTTAGCCTGTGGCAGAGGTGGCAGGGGACACTCAGGGTAGGTGTCTAAGGGTTGGAGCCCTCTGATACCCTACTTAGAGCTTGGACAGGCTTTTCCAGGAGGCCACGCTAGCTAGGTCTTTCTTCTTCCTCTGGCTCACCCTCTACCCCCAGCCAGGTGTCTCTGCCTCTCTCCCTGCCTCCCTCCCTGCCTCAGAGATGCCCAGAAATTGCAGGGCTGGTGGGCCTCCCCAGGCTGCAGCTGCACTCTGCACATCTTCTGTTATTATGATTTTATTAAATTTATTTTTTCATTATAAAAGCAATATTAAAAAAGCAATATAAGCATATTAAGGGAATTTTGGAAAAAAAAAGAGAAACTAAGAAAAAAAGTCGCTCATAATCTCCAGCTCCTAACCCTGCAGCTTAAAGAGCCTTTTGGTCCATTTCCTTCCTTTCCCATATTTTTTTTTTTAATATGTGTGTGTGTTTTGCTGAGCTTGTGGTAGGACTGGAGCCATGATTTAACTTGCCCTTCTATCATCAACATGCTTATTGCACTTTTATTGTAAAGATAGTAACAGTCATTATAGAAAATTTAGAAATTGCAGACAAACTGAAAGGAGAAAAAATTAGGCTTAGTCCTATAATTGTTAGAGTTTTTGTACATTTTCCCTAAATTTTATTTCCTTTAATCATAGATGTGAAAAGTGGATGAATTCACCAGGTACAAGAACCAGGGAATACAAAAACTGACAGGGAAAGCTTGCAATTCTCCTATTACAAAAAATTCTCCTCCTTCCCTGGAGAGGACACTAGTGTGCCTCTTCTCAGATCTGTTGCGAGTGTTCACACATGCACACATTGTCCGTGTATACCTATGTATTTTGAGTCTGTGTGTCTTAAAATAGATGCATTCACAATGTCTGTGACTTGCATTTTTTTTTTTTTTAACCTGGCAGCACATTTTGGCAGTTCCTCTCTGTCGCTGCATTCCATTTATCCTGTTTCGTGGCTGTGCATGAAGTTCTCCATCATCAGGAGGCCCCACATCTGTTTACACAGCCCCTGCTGACCAACGGGTTATGCCCAATTTTGTTTAATCACAGTTTTGTATGAGAGGCCCACGTACGCAGATCTTTGTGTTCATGTGCAAATATTTTTTATGGTAGGTTTCCAGAAGTCGAGTTAATTTACTTGATTGAAAGTTGTGTACATTTACAATTTTCATGGCTGTGGCCAAACTGCCCTCCATGAAGACTGCAGAAATGTGCACTCCTGGGGTACTGTGTGTGATACCAGGCATACCTCTTGCCAGCTCTGGATGTTTTCTTTCTCAATGCAAAGATTTTTGTGTTCTGAACCACATAACAGATGCCATTTTCATGTTTTTGTCTACTAAACTTGATATTGTAAATCTAGTCCTCTCATATTTTCTTTTCTTTTTTTGGTACTGGGGCTTGAACTTAGAGACAGTTTATCACTGCTACATCCCCAGGCCTTTTTTATTTTTTATTTTGAGACAGGGTCTTGGTTCTGAGGATCTCACTAAGTTACTGAGGCTGGCCTCAGACTCAGGATCCTCCTGCCTCAGCTTCCTGAGTTACTGGGATTACAGATGTATGACAACCACCATGCCTGATCTAGGCCTCTCGTTTTTTAAAGAGAACTTTTATTATAGAAGTTTTTTAAAAAATTTATTGTCAAAGAATTAGAAAGTACAGGTTAACCAATCACTTCTATTATTCACATCACATTTTGGTCCTTCTACTTATTTTTTTCTGTGCACACACATGCAGGTTTTAAAAATGAACATAATGGCAAGTTCAGTAGATGAGATTGATCACTGTGTACTGAACACTTTCCAAATAATGTTGCATATTTCAGTTGTCTCTAAATGTTTCTGTTATAAATAACACAGTAATGAACATCTTGAACCCAGCACCTCACACATTGCAAGCATTCTACCACTGAGCTATAGACCCCTCGGCCTCTAAGGTTCTAACTCAGTTTAGACTTAAGGTGTCTAAGGTATTTGTTCTCTCTCTCTCTCTCTCTCTCTCATTTAGTTCCCCCTGGGTAATAATTTATGAATGGGAAGAGGGAAATCACAGAGGCAGTGCGACCTGCCAAAGTCACACATCTGGACAGTTGGGGCTGAGGGGACCTCTGCAGCTCCCCTCATCCCTACCCCCAACCTGTGTATCTTTGCAGGTCTGGGGCTCTCCTCCCGGACCCCGACTGTGAGCACATCTGAGTCGAGCACCGGCACCGGCACCGGCACGGGTACCAGCACCCCGTCCACACCCACCACCACCAGCCAGAGCCGCCTCATCGCCTCGTCCCCCACCCTCATCTCAGGGATCACCAGCCCCCCCCTCCTGGACTCCATCAAGACAATCCAGGGCCACGGCCTACTAGGCCCCCCCAAATCTGAACGTGGCCGCAAAAAGATCAAGGCGGAGAACCCGGGGGGTCCACCTGTCCTTGTTGTCCCCTACCCCATCCTGGCCTCCGGCGAGACTGCCAAGGAAGGCAAGACGTACAGGTGGGGATCTTGGTGTGACAGGACCAAGAGATCTCAGGGCAGGAACTCATGCTGAGGGCTGGGAAAAGGGGACCTGGGGCTGAGGGTGGGGCTAGGGTCCAGAGGTTGTGGTCTCCTGTTGAGCCTCGCTCATGTTTCAAGCCCATTTGTGGGATAGAATTAGACTAGAGCCTTCAGAGGACGTCTGTGGTTGGCACTCCGTCACAGTCTAGCGTGGCAAGAATGCATTTCTTCTCCCTTTAAGTGATGTTCTGGTCACGTGTGAGCCATCTGAACTTTCAGAACATGCCATTGGCAAAGCTGTAGCTCCAGGGATTCTGAGTTAATGTTTTGGCAGTGGGAACATCAGAGGAAGCAGGCATCTATATTTCTCAAAAGCCCCCGGAGTATTCTGATGTACAGCTAGACTGCGAATCTCTTAGCCTGTTAGAATCTCCTTCCCCAGGACCATGGGCATGATCCTGGGCAAGACCTCTTCCCCCTGGATCATGGTGCCTGTCTTCCCTGAGTATAGACCTGCTCCCCAGGCTGCTGCCAATGTCCCCCAGACTTAAGGCTCTCCTCCTCCAGACTGGAGGGTCCCCAGGCTAGGAGCCTGTCCTTATTTTTCCCAGATGGGCCTGTGCCCTCTGGACTCCTCACAGACACAGGGTCCTCCAACATGGAAGATCTCCCCAGAGATATCCGACAGGGCCTGGGATGTCTTCCCAGGTGTGACCCTGCCTCTTGCCCTGCAGGTGTAAGGTATGCCCGCTGACCTTTTTCACCAAGTCTGAGATGCAGATCCACTCCAAGTCACATACAGAGGCCAAGCCCCACAAGTGCCCGCACTGCTCCAAGTCCTTTGCCAATGCCTCCTACCTGGCCCAGCACCTGCGCATCCACCTGGGCGTCAAGCCCTACCACTGCTCCTACTGTGATAAGTCCTTCCGACAGCTCTCCCACCTCCAGCAGCACACCAGGTAGGTGGCCTGCCTCATGCTGCCCTGCGGCAACCCATTCAGTTCAGCACCTGTGGCCCCCGGGGGTCAAGAGCCATTTCCTTTGGTGAGCATTCTGGGCCTTCTTTGATTTGGGCCCTGGGAACCCTTGCTGCTACACCACCCCTCACACCACCCCTCTCTCCAAGTCTTTGTTCATGCTGTGTCCTTTTTCTGTTTTCTGACCTTCTCCTGTCCATCTCTCAGTCCACCTTCCTCCCAGAAGCCCCCTGGTCCCCACGCTGGGTAAGGAGCCTGGACTCTGTGTTCCCACAGGCCAGTGCATCCTCCTCTTATCAGTGGTGGGCTGCCATGTGCTCGTATACTGCTCCCCATATATTTGAGCTCTTGAAGGGAAGGGCTTGGTCGTCTCCATTTCCATATCTCCCGGGTGTGGTACATATGGGCATCTGTTAAATATGTGTGGAATAAATAGAACTAGTTCCTGTAGAGCATACGATTCATCCATTTAACAAGTTTTTGCAGCGCCTGTGCTCCATGCCAGACACGGTTCTAGGTACCAAGGACACGGCCAGGAATAAAACAGACAAAAACCCCTGCCCATCGGGGCTTACAGTGGGGCTGAGTGTGTGCAAGGGAGACTCAAAGATAAATGCTTGAAGGGAAGAAAAGTTGGTGCAGGGGAGTATAGACATCAGAAAGGCTGTCTCACCAAATAAAAATACCCTAGGTATTTAAAGAAACAAATCAAAGGTTTCCAAGATTGCAGTTCATCTGTTCATAGGGGAAGAAACACGGTTTGCTCACATGATGATTATCATCTCTGGAAGCATGGTCCTGTGTCTGCCAGTATCAGCATGGTCAAAGGCAGGGAGAAAATTGTTTTGCTGTGAAGTTTGTCACTTACTAACAAAACTGGAGGTTTTCTCTCTTCTGGGAGACTAATACCATACAGAGGGACCTCTATACTTTGTTTTGTTTTTGTTAGTTATTCATTCGTCTCCATGGTCTTTGTATCCTTTATCACAAGGTGCAAAATGTTTTACCTTGTCCGTTTCTCTGACTTTGGGGTATGGTTTGTAGGTTCAGTAGCAAGAACAAATGACAGAGTGGCCACAGGTCAAGCTGTCAGCCTGTTTTCTCATTTCCCTGCCTCCTAAGGCACAGATCTGACCACATAAGTTTGTTTCAGCAATTTTCTGATGTTGTCATTACTTTGATTTTATTTCTAAGGCGGCCAGTGTTATGGACACAGGTATAAGTAGCAAGGTGTCGATTAGTAAACAAACCCTCCTGGTTGCATGGTTCTTAAGATTATGGCATATGATAAGCTTCAGAATCTAACTTCTGTCAGGAGACATTGTAAAGCTCTTGGGCCAGAATTTTAAGTGTGTGTGTGTGTGTGTGTGTGTGTGTGTGTGTGAAAAATGTTTTCTTATATTAATAGAGATCAGGAACTTAGAACCACCAATTCAACTCTGCCAGATTGCATAATGGTAGAAGTACCTTCTTTTTTGGAGAATCCTCAAGTTGGAAGCTCAGGAACTGATGGTTTTTTATCGTCTTCGAGGCTGGAACTCCCCTGCCATGGAGCAGTGCCAGTCATTTGCCTGAGGCCTGGGGAGGCCTCATTCTCACATATGAAGTACTGTCTTATGAGGCTTGTCATGCCTAATTAAATGGGATTTGTCTTTAAATGTGACATTTCTGGCATAGTCATGGAGACAAATCTGATTTACCCAATTATATCCTGTTAGGAAAGAGGACAGATTCTTATTGAACTACACACGGAATTAATGATTGTGAAAAGAAAGGGGTCTCACTAAAGGCACTTCGAATATTTTTTAGCAATTATTCTGAGTAGTTTTGTAGACAAGGCCAAATCCGTATGTTGTTCTCAGTAGGGTTATTATTTTTAAATTACTTTGATGATTTTTAAAATTTTTATAGCTCCCCAGGAATTCTGAAGGGTTAGTTAGAACAGGGCGCCATTTAAGGAACAATTTTACTCCACTCTGTTAAATATAGCCTCCTAAATTGAGGACTGGAGATGGACCCAAGGAGAAAAAGGTTTTCTCAGATGCCCTTTGGAATATGAGACACTAACCACAGCGAAATCGGCTTCATCCCGTCCTAGATAGTAGTTCTGTTTCTCTGACCCTGGGTTAACTGGTCCACTTTGCTAAGTTGTCCACTTCTTGACCAGAAGATCCTGGATCCTATGGTGATGTCACTGGAAACCTGCACCCATTTGGCTCTTTCCTGAAGTACCTAGAGCCTAGCGTGTGTGTCCCAGGCCCTCCTGAGGCTGTGTTCTCCTAGGAGTTCTTTCAGATGACTCCATTTCTGACCTGCCACTCAAAGCAGAGGCCTTAAGGCAAGCTTGAAATGGGAAGTGAGACCTGTGGATAAGACTAAACGAATCCGGTCAGTGTATTATAATAATCAACACTATCAGAACGGACGAGAGCAGAGGCTTCTATGAAGATACAAGGCATGATCCGTTTCTCAGATGAAGCACGTATTATATGCAGCAAAGGCATTGGCCAATCTTCAGGGTCTTTCAGTTTATCTCATAAAGTATGAGTTATGGTTATTATTAATTGGTAAGGGTATTTTAAATCTAGAGACCTATTTTTCTTTAATGGTGTTGGGGTTCAAACACATGTCGTTATGAATGCTAGGAAAGCGCTCCACTATTGAACATTGCCCAGCTTGAGGCAATGTTTTTAAAAAAATGCTTTTATGTTTGCTTTTTTTGTGCCAGTTTCTCTGTGTTAAAATGATGTGGTTTTTTTTTTTTTTTGGTTTATCGTAAAAAGCGCACAAAACACCAGGTGCAATGGCCCTTGCCTGTAATCCCAGTGACTCAGGAGGCTGAGGCAGGAGGATTGCAATTTAAGGTCTGCCTCAGCAATTTAGTGAGGTCCTAAACCATGTACCAAGACCCTGTCTCAAAATAAACTGGGTGATTTAGTGGTTAAACACCACTAAAAAAATCCCCAGCACACACACACACACACACACACACACATACACAGCACAAAACATATATATTTAATGTATATGCATATTATTTACTTAAATGTAAAATGAGTCCATTGAGCTCTCTTCTTGGTTTTCCACCTTTCTTATACTGCACACTTTCTTATACAGCTGTCCCTTCAGCGTTCAGCTAATTAACGATATGGAGAATACAAAACAGGCCCAATCATTCCGAGCTTCCCTCTTTTTCTGAAGCCTGGGATCAAATCTTTGGTGTTGCCCAGCGGCCATCTGGAAACTCCAGGAGCATTTGCATGTAAAAGACACCTTGCCGATTTTATTATTCTGCACTGGAGGACTGAATTTGAGAAAGGCTGCAGCATGAAGTGGTCAGAGTCCAGTTGAAAACAGACATAGTAGCAAGTAATAACAATGATGAAAAATTCTGTGTGGTGGGTTTTTTTTTCCCAGAAGTAGACTTTGTTTAAAAATATCATTTAAGACCATGTCCAAAAATAAATAAGTAAATAAATAAAAATTAGTAGGCCCTTGAAGGAGAGTATTTTACCAAAACATCCAGACCCAGGGATTACTCTCCATTCCTGAGGGCACAAATTTCTTTTCTGTCTCTTTTTTCCTTCTGTGTGATTTAAGTTCATAATGGCAGGAAACCAAGCAAACAACATAAGAGAATTCTATCAACAATTGGAAAAAAATTCATAAGTCACAGGGCACTGGCACATATAATTAAGCCAATGTGTCCTAGCCCAGTGGTAAAGAGATGAGTGTCCCAGTTGCCCCAAAGTCTCAGAGTCCTTTGGACAAACAGATAAACAAAGCCAAACCTAAAGAAGCAAACAGATTCTAGATTCCCCATCCTCTGCTGTATGACAGAGACCCTGTCCTGTTTTCCTACCTCTCAGCAGGAAGTCAATCAGGTCATATCATTAATCAAATGCATCTTTCCAGTGTAACTGCCACTAATGAAGGGGAGAGGAGAGGGTCATGTCCAAAGCAGAAGCAGCCCTGGTCTGGTGAGAGAGGAACAGTCTGAAGAGAGCGAGGAAAGTCGTTCCTAGTTGTAGAGAACAGTGTACCTAGGTGACGCTGTTGGGGGACATAGTTTAGTGGCACTAGTGAACCTAGGCATCTTGGGATGTCCTGTGTTGACAAAGGAAGGAACAACAAGAAGAAGAAAGGAGGTGACCTGTAAAGTGTAGCCTGAGTCCACATTTGAGGATCAGCCCAGCAAATAATAAATACCACGTGTATTTATGGAGAAAATAGAACATTCCCGTTACAGTCAATCGATGACAGAAAAACAGCAATTGTCTCTCGGAGTTAGCATCTGCCTAAGAACCATCCCACGTCTGCAAATGTCTCAATGCAAAAGTCAGGGATAAAATTGTTTGGGGAGAGAGTTAGTAAATTATAGGAAAGGGCTCAAGGTTTTATCTATTTGTGGAACCTAGTGCCAGACAGAGTGACGCATTTGTTTGTTTGTTTATTCAGGGTGCAAAGTGTGTTTGGTGTTTGTTTTTCTTTTCCTGACTCTGATTTTACCAGCATGCTTAATGATAACTGGGGCAGGGTCATTTTGATTTCTCAGTCTGATGATAATAATGGTAGTAACATCTTCAGCTTTTCCATATCAAAGAGCTCCTCCGAGCCTGGTCCTACACAAGGTGCTTTACTATACAAGGTATCCATAAAGTTCTGGCACTATGGAAACTTGTGTTTCTTTGTAAGAGATAATGAATTTCAAAATGCCAGAAAGCAAATCATTTTAAGAAATATTAACTTTCATTGTATCTACCATTGTTTCAGTTACAAAGTACAAGATGCAACTTTGAAGCCATTTAGTAGTGGAGTAAATACCTGAGAAATAAGAGAAAAGTGAACGTGGAAGATTATTATTATTCTAATGGGTAAAGACAGCAGTGACAGCTACTCCGTCTTCTGAATCCTTAGTAATCTTACTTAAATGCCGAATCATTTCCCTTTATTTTACACAAATCATTTATCTTAGAGAGTAATGTATTAAAACTAACATGGTGGAATATTTTATGAGCACCTTTTTATGTACGGTCCTTTAATTGCTACAGTTTTCACAATCCTTATTATTATCCCCATGTTAGGGATGAGGAAACTGGGGCTCACGGAGCCAGTCACTTACCCTTGGCACACAGCTAAGAGGTGGCAGAAGTGGGATTCAGGCTCAGTGCACAAGGAGCAGCCTGGGCTGTCAGGCTGCAGACTAAGCTCGAGTGCACATGGGGTGGAGGTGCTGGGCAAGGAAACAGGACCAATCTTTGGGGCTCCCTGTGGGCCAGGGGTTATGGGGACGGAGGAGCAGTCCAGGAGCACCAGTGCTGCCCAAGCAAGGGGCCCCCTGGGGTTAATGTGGGCACCCCATCCCTCTGCAGGGGGGAGCCAGACCTGGGTGCTCCACTGGTGGGAAGATGCCCTGGAGTAGGATTCCCACAGGAGCAGTGGGGGCGGGGCCTGACCTGCATTCAGAGATGGAGATGAGAGCCGCAGGGCCAGTGGGAACAGCAGCCTGGTCCTTCATTCACCCAGCAGCTGCTCCCTGCAGCCTTCTTTGAGCTGCCCAGTGCTGGGTGCCACACACAGGGACAACTCAATGGTCAGGGACAGGCCCTGTCCTGGAGGAACTCCCACTGTGACCTAGAGACTGGTGGATGCGTGACAGTGGTCAGTAGGAGGTGGAGGTTGGGGAGGATCAGCTGGGCCCAGTGTCGGGGGATCCGTCGCCCTTCCCAGCAGAGGGAGAAGCCGCGCCAGCAGCAGGAACAGCCCGAGCAAAGGCTCAGAGGCTCGCTGGGGAAGGTGGTGGCAGGGTAGTGAGATACCAGCGAGAGCAGTGTCGGGAGGAGGCTGGAATGTAAAGGGCCTTGAAAGCTGAGGCAAGGCCTTGGGGTTCTGTCATGGAAAAAGGGAGAGATGGTGGCGGTTACTGCTCAGAGCCTTGATCAGGTACGATGCCCGTGGCTGCTGCCATGGCTGAGGTCAGGGGCAGGGGCTGAGGCCAGAGTCCAGGTAAGGGGCTGAGCTGTTGGTGAACCTGGGTAGGAGGCCACCGGGAGAATTTTCTGGTCAGGAGGGCTTGGCTAGGTCCCCAAGGGGGACCGGAAGTCCCTGGAGAACTATCAGTTAGTCAACAAACACAAAATACACCTCCGGAATGGAAGTTGATTATGTGGAGTCTATTCTGTTGTCAGCCGCTGACTTTAGAGAGAACTCACTTTCCTTCAGTCTGCACCTAGTGATTGTGTCCTCTGTGCGCTGAGGTCATGCCCACTGCTGGGGAGATGGTGGTAGATGAGACCAGAGGCCTTGATCTCAAGGAGGCAGCCGAGAACGGTGACCAGACACTGAAGTGTGGACACACTTGTGGGAGTGGGGTTTCATGGGGCTGGGCGGGTAGGCTGCAGGGGTCTGACCTCTTCTGGTGGTTCGGAGAAGGCTGTCCTGGATGTGCCTTGAGAACGAGAGGGTGGATTTGAGCCAGGGTAGCTGAAGGAGAGGTGGCAGGGCAGAGGGCTGGAGGAGGAGGAGCTCTAGATGCCCGAGTTGCCAGCGGGGCTGGGCTCGGGGCCGGGAGGGAGGACGGTGGGCACTAGTCTGTGAGGTTGAAAACTAAAAATGATGTGTGTTCTAGGGGCCCTCAGGCCCTCCCTGCCACCTGCTCTCAACCAAACCCACCCTGCCCTGGAGGGGAATGAGGAGAGGTTGAAATGGAGGGATGCTGGCCACTGGTGGAGCTGGAGCAGAGGGTCCTTCCCTTGTAAAGACAGAGCAGTGGCCTGGTGGACCACCCCACCATGTGCAAGCATGTGGACCACCCCAACACGTGCAGGTCCATAGGAACTCTCAGAACTGGGTCAGTTCCACTTGGCACATCTAGGTGCAGTCTGTGGGCCGGGCCCTAGGCCTTACCCTGTCTTCGGGGTTTCCTGTCTGGTAGACAGGTGTGTACGAATCTGGTAGACTGAGAATCCAGAGGTGTCAGCACTGTGGAGGAGATGCCAAGCTCTGGGAGTAGGGAACCCTGGGTCGGGTAGGGAGGAGCACACTCAGGAAGGATGAGGTGACACTGGGCAGAACGAGGTGCAGTGAGGGCAGGGCATGGCGGGGAGAATCCTCAGATGTGGTCTCCAGGTAAGAAGTGGTTCCCTGACCAGGACGCGGTGCACAGAGTATGAAGGTGAAGCTGGGCCACCGATAAAGGCCTGAGTGACACACTGAAGAATCCCGACTGGCTCTGGGTATATCGGCAACCAACATTACAAGCTCTCTGACAGCAGGGAGCCCTGTGTCCCTAAGTGCAGCACTGATCCTGGCTACAGGGCCTTGGTCTCTGAGATGGACTGAAGGTGGAGCAGATCTGGGCTGTGAGAAGGCGAGAGGGCCCCGTTTGGCCCAATCTGCATTCTCCTTCCACTTAAGGATGCTCATTGGCAACTTAGGCAAACAAGGTTTGGGCCCAGCTGGCATTTCATTGCCTACTGGCTTGGCACAGAGGGTCTGGCAGGATGGGTGCCTCTGGGCCAGCTGGGGAGCTGGCCCTGGGGCTGGAGTGTGCAGCACAGGGAAGGCCACCTGTTGGCATGTGCCAGGCGTCAGCTGCACTCAGCACCATCCACCACTCTGTCCCCACCTGGCTGTTGGACAAGAGTGAGCTGTGGTCAGCCATCAGGATATCACCTTCTCAACTGGTCCTATCCTGTTGTGTGTAAAACTGTCCCCCATGTTTCCCAGTCCCCAGCCTTGTTCAGTTGTTCACAACACTGACTACCTTCCGTGTGTGAGTTATTTCCTTATTTCATGCTTACTGTTCTTTTCTGCCAGGGGGTAGTTTTTGTCTGTTTTGTTCCCTGATATATCCCCAGTGCCTAGCATGGTGCCCAGCACACAGGAACCTGGTGTGGTAAACGTTGAATGAATGAATAATAATTACTGGCAAGCCTTTCTTGAGTGCTACTGTGCCGACTCTCGGCTGAGAGCCTTACATGTATTATCTGGTGCACTTTTCACAAAGCCCAGTGAGGCAGGGACTGTATTTTTATATCCATTTTGTAGGTGAGGAAACCAAGGCTCAGTGATTTGCCCAGAGTCACCCCACTAGTAAATGGTGGATCCAGGATAAGAACTCAGGAAGGGGAGTGGGGCACAAGGAGCTATCGTTAAGAACACAGAGGGACTGAGCTTCAGGGCCATGGGCCTGAATTGTCTAATACATGAGGGTGAACATGTCACCATCATGGACATGTGTCTGACATGGAGAAGGGACAGGAAATAGAGGCCAGGAGCCATTCAAGGGGGATGTCCTTCTTCTGGGGAAGGAGGCAGGGTGGGAGGGAAGGTCCTCATAGCACTGTGAATCCATTCTTTTCACCATGGCAGAGAGGACAGAAGGAAGTCCAAGCAAGCTCCCTGCGCTTAGCTGGAGGCTGGGCTGGGTCTCTGAGTGGTGCTTTTCGTAGGTCGGGTGCAGAGGGACCTAGGGGGAGTGGAAAGTGTCAGTCAGACTCGCAGTGGAAGCTAGAGAGGGAAGGAGAGACGATGGCCTTTGAAGTCCCTAGATTTCTCTGTGGGCTCACTCTTGGCCACTGAGGAGAGTGGGTCAAGGGGACCGAGTCTAGTGACTTGGGAGCAGAGGTATGGCCCAGGGCAGCCAAGGGCTTGCACTCTGGAGCTGGTCTGGGACCTCCTCCTCATCAGGCTGCCCCTTGCAGAATCCACACAGGTGACAGACCCTACAAGTGCCCACATCCTGGCTGCGAAAAGGCTTTCACTCAGCTCTCCAACCTCCAGGTGAGTGCCTGCCTCCCTCCTGTGCCCCAGGGACACAGGGAACATAAGAAGGGGTGGGGCAGGTGGGGGGGTCCCACTGCCTCCTGACCCCTGCTGTGCTCCTCACAGTCTCACCAGCGCCAGCACAACAAGGACAAGCCCTACAAGTGTCCCAACTGCTACCGGGCCTACTCGGACTCCGCCTCCCTGCAGATCCACCTCTCGGCCCATGCCATCAAGCACGCCAAGGCCTACTGCTGCAGCATGTGCGGGCGGGCCTACACCTCGGTGAGTGCCAGCCCGGCCCCAGCTGCCTCCCCACTTTGCAAGCAAAATCACAGGCCCAAAGAGGGAAAGGGACTCCCAACGATCATAGGCAATGACAGAGCCAGGGCTTCTGCTTCCCATTTCAGTGTCTGTCGGCCCCAGACCCAGCTGGCCACCTTCTGCCTGCCTTTATCCTGGGTTTCTAAGGCCTAGAATCCTCAAGGTAGTGGTGGGGCTAGGCACCCTGCTCTGTGAGTCCCGAAGAGTCTCCTTGCTTCCTGTAGCTGCAATCCCCATTATGGACACAAGGGGGCACAGTGACTTGGCTCAGTCACTCTCATCTCAGGGAAGGCCTGAATAGCACCAGAAGGGTCATTGCATCCAGCCCCCTGTCCCTAGGTGGGAAAATTCCCCAAATGGGGGTCTCTGGACATCCAGGTGAGTCACTTGTGTTTGTGCTTTAGGTTCTTTAAATATTCTGGTTAACAGACTCTCATATACCCAACATAGGGATCACTGAGCCTCAGGTTCCTCATCTGTCAAATGGATTAACTCATGGGGTTTCTGGCTGGCAGAGTAGTGCCAAATAAACCTTAGCTAGTGCAATGACTTATTCACCTGTTGTTTATTGAACACTTTGCCAGACTCTTGGGAATTGGATACCAGACATTTATTGTCCTCAGGAAGGTTAAAAACTACTGTTGGAGATAGATATTAAACAAGTAATCATACACATAAACATTTAATGAAAAACTGTGATCACTGCTCTAAAATAGAGTTTCTCAACCTTATTGACGTTGAGCAGGATACCTTTTTTGTCATAGGGCGCTGTCTTGCATCTAGTAGGATGCTAAGCCATGTCTGGACTCTACCAACTAGGTGCCAGGAGCAATAAGTTGTGACCATTGGAAATGTCTCCATACATTGCTGTATGTCCCCTGGGGGTCAAAATTGTCTTTGATTGAGAATCACTGCTCTAAGGATTAAGAGACAGCAGCAGGGGAAACTATAAAATAGAGTTGGGAAGGTTAAAAGGTCCAGATAAGGCTCTCTGAGAAAGGAACATGTGTTAGTCAGCTTTCTGTTACTTTGACAAAATACCTGAGATAATCAACTTTAAAAAAAATGGAAAGTTAATTTTGGCTCACAGTTTTGTAGGTTTTAGTCCATAGTTACTCCTGTCGCTTTGGGGTCTGTGGCAAGACAGCACATCACGGCTGGGAGCATGTGGTAGATAGAGCAAGCTGCTGGCCTCATGATGGTCAGGAAACAAAGAGAGGAAGAGGAAGAGGCTATGATCCCAATATCCCTTCAAGGGCCTACCCCCAATGACCTAACTTCCTCCCAGTAGGTCCCATAAACTGAGGACTAATATGCCTTTAATACGTGGGTCTTTGGGAGACATTGTAGACCCAGACTAGCAGGACATTTTGATGAAGCCTTGAAGGATAATTAAATGAAGAGGAGAAAGAGGGGCAAGAACCTTCCATGTAGAGGACAGTTAGTGCCAATGCCCTGGGTGGAATAAAAATGGTGTGTAGCAGGAATTGATTGGGGGGCCTTGGGAGCCATTTGGAAACTTTGGATATTTTTCTAGGTAGAAAGAGAAGCTGTTCTACCCCTGAGAGTGTCAGAGAGCACGTTGTTGAAATGTCAGTGTCACTCTGGGTGGAGGTGGGGTGGGGTCATCACAGGACTTGTCAGGTGCCAGCCAGGGCTGCTCTTGCCCAGTGCTGAGTGTGTGATATTTATCCTCCCTGGAGTCGAGTGTGTGGGGCAGAGGAGAGCTGAGAGGACAGACCTGCAGGACGAGGGCCCCCAGGAAACCCCCCCTCAGCCACTGACCTTCAGTCTGTCCCTGCGTCTCCCAAGCCCCACACTCTCGATGGCCCCCTTCACCATCTCCAGTCCCGCCTTATCTGAACCCCTAGTTTTTAAAGCAAAACCCAAACATCAATTATTTCATTTGTAAATGAAATTTATGTCTCTAATGATAACTCCTTTTTTTAAAGAGAGCATTTCCACAGTATCTAATACTTCTATAGAGTCAGCGTTGATGATTTTCATTTCTCCTGCATGTCATAATTTTATTTATTTGAGGTGTTATTTTTTCAGTCTTTACTAATTTTTGCAGTGTTATTTTTTAATCAGTATCCAAATAAGATTCCTATATTGTACTGGGTCAATGTATCTTTTAATCCAGAGTTCCCCCTTTTCTTTGCTGTACACTCACAGAAGAGTTTCCTGGGGGGCTGTTGATGGGTGCCTGTCTAGGTCACCATATATTATCACACTGTCACATCTGAGGGCTTCCTCTGCCACATCTGAGCAGGTCCAGGTATGAGGCCCTGGAGTGGCAGCTGGGGACCCAGAATGCCACCTTGTTCCTGATCAAGGCCAGTAGGTGATATGGTGTAGCTTGAGGTCAGGGGCCTACAGTAAGCCTGGGTCCCCTTGCTCACCTACTGGTGCTGCCTCAGGACAGACTTAGCAGAGCCTGTGAGGGTCCCAGGCCTGGCTTCACCCCCAGCGTAGGTCCAGTGAGGCCAAGACTCCTACCACCATCTGGGAAAAAAGTAGAGACTGGGGAAAGAGTGGTGCCCTCAGCCCCGGCTGCATGCTGAGGGCTTTATTCATATCACCATGACAACCCTTCCCTTCCCTTCTTACAGAGGAGGAAACTGAGGCTCAGGGGTGAGATGACTTGCCTAAGATCTCACCACTAAGAAATGGCAGAACCAGGCTCAATGCTGGGTCCACTGCCCACCCCCCACCCACCCTTGGGAGCCCCAGCCAGGTGCAGGGACTCGAGCTCTGTCCTGCAGACAGGGCTATGTCTCATGCAGTGCTCCCTGCTAGAGCCAGTTGGTAAAGGCAGCTGACCTGTCTTTGGGGAGCCACAGGTGGGCACTGCTGAGGGGCGGGCCTGGTGCCGGTCAGTTCCCCCAGACAGCGCTCTGCGGGCTCTGAGCCTGGCAGGGCGGCTAGTGCTGATGCTGGCAGCAGGGCCATATCCCTAGAGCCAGTGCCCAGGCCTGGCTGGGCCTCCAGACTGTGACTGCAGACCACCAGTGTGGCCACCTGCCAAGGACCCCTGCAGTGGCCACTTCTGGGAGCTGCAGCCTCCCTTGCCTCCTTTCCAGTGGTGACCATTCTGCATCTCACCCTGCCCACAGGAGACCTACCTGATGAAGCACATGTCCAAACACACGGTGGTGGAGCACCTGGTGAGCCATCACTCACCCCAGAGGACGGAGTCCCCAGGCATCCCAGTGCGAATCTCTCTCATCTGAGCCCCACCTGAGGCGCCGCCCGCCCAGCCCACTGGCAGGCTGACACCGGCAGCACCAGGCCCCAGGGCCTCTGGGCACTGCTGATCTCTTCATGACCTTCCAAACCTGCCAGGAAGCTTGGGCCGCAGAAGCCCTGCTTGGTCCAGTCCCGGGCCGGTCAGGCAGGCCAGTTGCAAGGTTCTGGACTGTTTTGGTGGCATCCAAAGACGATCTCAGAGCACTTTGAACCTGTCTGTTGAGTTTTCTTTTTGTTCCCCACCCCTCACTTGCTTCACTTTTTTTTTTTTTTTAAGTTTGTTTTGGAAATAACAAAAAAAAAAAAAAAAAAAAAGCTATTTATTGGCCAGGACATTGGTGCTGCTAAGACCGAGAAATGAAAAGGATCAGGCAGATGGATGCAGAGAACCAGAGGGCTGCGTGGGACCTTCTCTGGCCACGGCCTCAGGTCTTAAGGGAAGGCTCAGGTCTGGGGCTCTGGACTGCAAAGGAGTCCCCAGATGGGTGGGAGCCGAGGCAGCTGGAGTTGAGCCCTTTAGCCCTGGTGCCCAGCTCCTACCACTGAGCAGAGGGTGTGGCAGCTACCAGGGCTGTCCAGGCTTCAGGAGGCAGCAAAACGAGGGGCCGGGAGATCTGTAGGACCAAAGGGTGCAGTAACAGGCTGGGCGGCGGGCCCAGGGAAATGGGGTGGGGTGGGCTGGGTAAGACCCGGTCCCTCCCCTGATGCCCTGAAGACCACCCCAGTCTACCTCGGTGCTGGCCAGGAAACCTATCGGCTACCTCTCCTGTCATCCCAGACTGTGGGCAGGGGGATGGGAGGGAGTGGGCCTGGGCCTGGGACCTCCTTCCAGAATTTTCTCCAGATGGGGTCAGCGCCCAGGGTGGGGGAATCCTCAGCCTGGGTGCACCCCTCCGCAGGGAAGGGATCCTTGGGGAGGGTCCCAGGAGCAGACCCTGCCCCCAGCCCCCACAGACACACCCCAATCTGAAAGCCATGCGTGTCCATGTATATAGGAACCATGTACAGAGCCCGGAGAAGCCCTTCCACATCCCCTCGGGAAAAAAAAAAAAAAGAAAACTAGACAGAAACTCATCTATATATTCTGTATCTGGAGTTCCGTTTTGAATATTAACTGTGTTATTTTTATACACTTTTTAAGCCTTAACTCGCCATTGATTTACCAGTTTAACGTTTCCTGGGGTTTCTTTTCCCATGGGGTTCTCTGCCCCCACCCTCGCCCCTTTGTTTGACTTGCGTCGTCTGATACTCAGTATTGTAGCTTTTTGTCCGCATGTTACTGCCCTGTAAATAAGCTGTCATACATATTGTTAACACCCCTTTGCTTTTTTCTATGGGACCTCCAGGCCACCATATTTAGAACTAGTTACCTTATTAAAAAAAAAAAAAAAAAAAGAAAAAGAAAAGAGTCTGTTGGCTTCTCAGTCTGCATCTTGGTGGCAGGGAGGTGAGGGCAGGTGTCTCTCAGACACTTCAGGAGAGAAGTTTGCATCCTATTTTAAAAAGGGGGTGGGGAGCAAGGTAAAAATCGAATGTGGGGGAAAAACACTAAAAGGGGCAAAAAAAAAAAAACTAGGGAATTACAACCCCTCTGCTCTTTGTATTTCTCTGTTGTGAAGAATAAACTGTACCTGCACCCAGGTGGCAGTGGTGTGTGACGTGCTGTGTGTGACAGCGGGAAGGGGCACCTTTCCACGACTCCTCTCCCCTCCCCTCCCCTAACTGGGGGCAAGGAGATGGTGGCTTACTGGGGGCTGGTCTCACCCTGGGGCAGAGCCCCTAGTGCTCTGTGCTGAACTGTTAAGTGTCAAGGACATACGTTTACCAGGTCTTTCTAGTTCTAAAGCCTTTGTACATGTTCTGGGTCCACCAAGGGGTCTCAGCTGCGCTGCTTTCTGAGGAGCACCGCACCCTCTGGGGGGTCCATCATGAGTGCCTGATTTGTGGAAGCTGTTCCCACATTTGAAGGGAACAGGCTTTCTTCAAGAGGTCCCCTCCATGCACATTTCCCCTACAGGGGAACCAGTGTTGTGACTGCATAGGAGGAGAATGAAGGAACGCATCCCCCCAAGTTTATCGAGGCTGGCCCTGTGGAGTGTCCTGGAGTAACTCAGCCACAAGCCACTGTGGAGCTCATCATTGGGACCTCATTCTTCTGAGTCCTCATGGTCTTCATAGGTCAAGGCTTGTTGGCAAGTGACAGAAGATCCAAACTCCTAGGACAGCTTCAGCATCCAAAGAATGTGTCGCTGGCTCTCCACTGGCTCTTCATCCTCAGGTTCCTGTGGGGTCAACTCCAGCCTACAGTCCTGCTCAGCCTTCCAGCAGCCATCCTGTCCCTTTGTCAGAAGACCCAGCAAGGGTCTCATGGGGTCTTCCTCCTTCTGGCCCAGGCATGGTATGTACCGGTTTGGCTAGGGCCCATAATCTATGGCTGGAGCAGAGAGTGAATCCTCCATCCAAAGTATGTCTTCCCAAGAGGAAACCAAGAGTGCGTTGCCACAGAAGGGGGAATGAATGGGGGAAGCCCAGAACCAGCATGTTTTCATTAATCTCAAGGCCTCTTTTCTTGCTCTGAAATTGACCTTCCACAGCCTGCAATGCCTGGAGGGAATAGGCTCTGGCAGCTATATGGTATATGACCCCATTCCAGCCTACAGCTGATTGTCCAGAGTTTGGCACCTGACTGAGTGACTCTATCCATGGTTATAGCTAACTGTGTGCTGGGGCTGTCCTGGCTCTGGAGAGCAGATCCTGTGTATCTCTTCCCAAGGGACTTCTCAGTAAATGCTGGTAGCTTATGATTGACCACGGTGGGATTTATACCATGGAAAATGGTAAATGCTAAAAATCAAGGCTTTCTTTTTCTTTGAAGAGCCAGTTGCTATTTATTGGCACACCACTAGATGAAACTGCTTTAGATCTCCAGTCCATGAATCAGGAACAAATTAGTTAGGAGAAGGTAGGCACCTGAACTGGAAGACCCTATACCTAGGAGTTGGGGTATCTGTGTGGGTCCAGACACAAACAGAACAAAGAAGGTAGGAGAAAGCAGAAATGGACAGAGGAGACGGAGAGCTAGTGACAACCTCAGTTCCTTACAATGTCTTTATCCTCTAGCCATGTTGCTTTCCAGTTTGTTCTGGAAACCCTGAACTTAGGTTCTAATGGGGGAAGTGACTTAACCTCTTCATATCTGATTTCCTCTTATGTAAATGGGATGAATAATGGTGAACAATTTATAGTGTGGATGTGAGGATGAAGTGAATCAATACATGTTTAATGCTTAAAGCTGTGCCTGGTACACGTAAGTACCCCCAAAATGTAAATGTCATTATTGCTATTATTAGACTTAGCTCCATTGGATCTATGTTCCTTATGATCATTGATTCCTAAGAGACTTGAAGATGTTCTGGTATTTGCGGGGGTGATATCTGAGCTAGCATGAGAGGGTGGGGCACCTGGGACAGATGAAGATTCTGTATTTAGCAGTGACACTTGGGACTGAGAGTTGTATTTTCATCTGCTTGCCTGGGGAATATGTGAGCACCCCTGTCTGTGTGGGCCCCAGGATAGGTGCTGAGGAGGACAGAGGTGGGGGCCACAGAATTAGCTACAGAAGGAGCTTTTTTCTCCCTGTCAGACCTGTCTCCAACCCAAGTCCTTCTATAATCTCTGCTCCCTCCTTAGGCCTCTGGGATCCATAGGAGGGAGCCATTCTCAAGAAGCTGCCAACACCGCTCTATTCTGCCCTGCCTCAAGCCCCTCCCCTTCCTCTGGAAGGTCTTCATAGCAGCACATGGCTGCCCAGAGCCTGGGATCAGGAAATTCCCAACTTACCATGTTTTCCCCTGTAAAACTCTGTTCTTGGGTGAATTTCTTGCACTCCATGAATTTGCAAGGAAAGGGCAGGCAAAGAGAGGAAAAGGACAATATCTGTTCTCTGAAATATCACCAAAACCCCTAAGAGGGCTATATGTGAGGAAACTTGAGACTCGGCTCAGGTAAGGAACTTGTCTACATCACACACACACAGAAAAGGAACGGGTTCACATCCAGCTCTCACTGGCTTGTGGTCAGCTCTCCCACCGTCCAAGGGTGTTAAGGTTGGTGAAGTCTGCAGCAGAAGGTGGAGGATAAACTTTGCCCCACCAGGGGAAGGCACATGACAACTCACTCAGCCAACAATGAATGACCTTTTCTTGGGCACACCTGGCTTGCCCTTTCTCTCACCCAGAGTCCACAGGGACTGAGTTTTGCTCATCTAGTTTCGGTAGAAGGAACTGGGAAACATTGAACTGCTTTTGAAAGGAGAGATTTCCTCTTTTATCATCAATACTTGAACTTGCCTGTAAAAATTTTCAGCGTCTAAAGATCTTCAGGGCCAGGTAAATAGCTGGAATTGCTGTCCTACCTGCAAACTGCGGAGGCTGCTAAAAATTCAAGGTCAGTGAGAATGCTCCATAGAAAATACTGGAGACCCACAGTGAAGTCCTACTCCCTCAGGACCTCAGTTTCTCCAACTGTCTGACAAAATCTCCAGGGCTTCCAGTGGCCACTTTCTTTGGAAGGTCGATGACTTCCAGCCCCCACTCAGAGCCTGTGTTTGTTCCTGTAGTTTGAAGAGTCAAGTGCAGGTGTGGATGAGGAAAATTACCTCCCAGATTCTGGCCAAACAGCCTTACCAGCCCAAGGTCAGGAATGTAATTTTTTATTTTGGGTGGTGCTGGGGACTGAACTCGGGGCCTCACACATGCTACCTCTGAGTCACATCCTCAGCCCACGAATGTCATTTTGTGTGTGTGTGTGTGTGTGTGTGTGTGTGTGTGTGTGTGTGTGATTTGATTATAGTAGAAAAGGCCCATGTGGACAAATTTGGAAAAATTTATCTATTATAATAATACTCACATATGTACATGTCATGCTTATGGGCAGGACAGGTAAAAAGGGAGAGCCAATGACCAGGATGCCTCCTGTGTTTGTCCCTCTATGGCTCATTCTCAAAGTCAACTGGACTGAGAGTGGAGTGGGGTCAGACAAGAGTCCTGGCTCTCCCAACTGCTGATGCCACTACACAGATCCTCAGCCTCTGGCGATTATGTTCCCTCTGTGTCTCAATCTCGTTTAAAAGCGAGTGGGGTGGGGGGTGGGGAGATGAGGTAGGGATAGAACATCACTTGAGGAGGCATCAGGTGAATTCTGGACGGCCACAGAGGTGTTTCGGTTGTGTTTCAGCCCATATTGAAAGTGAGGGAAAGGCGCACAGGAGCGGAGCTGGTTCTTTTCATTCAATCTTTCTCTGTCCTCCAAAGTATCTTGTGGCTTCCAGAAAGAAGCCAACTGAAGGAAGGGTCTCTCCCTCCTGTAACTCATCGGGTGTCAGTGCCGGTGGCTGGCACTAGTCGCGCAGGATCGCGTACTCCTTGGGCGCTGAGAGCAGACGGGGCCGGTGAATCTCGGGGCGTGGGCCGATATCCAGGCTCCAACAGAACTCCGGCGATAGCACCTTGGTGGGCTTGTGCAGCCAGAAGTATTTGTTGAGGTGGCTCTCGTCGTGCCAGAGTGCCTCGAGGCCGCGCTCGCGGTCCTGCTGCTGGGCGCGCGCGCAGTGAGCCGTCAACCTGCGCACCGCGGCCACGCTACCCCCGAACAAGGCGGCATGGTAGTAGAAGTCGCCCTCACCCTGGGCCACTGCGGCGGCTGAGCGCGAGTTGCGCTCGAAGGGCAGCAGCCACCGTGGCCAGCGGTAGTGCCAGGCGTGCAACTGCGCTACTGACTCTGCCAGCGCCTCGGGCCCAAAGGCACTGCTGAAGTACTGGTCCACGTCCATGCAGAACACGAAGTGCGCCTCGCGCCCTAGACGCCCGCCTAATGCCTCGTGCAGCGTGCCCATGCGTGCCATGGACACGTCCTGCCAGCGCCGTTCGCGCACCACGTACTGCACTCGCAGCTGACGGCTGGGGCCCAGCGCCACGCGAGGCACAGCAGCGGGCCTCTCGGTGAATACGTAGTACACCACGCGCTGGCCCACCATGAAGTGCTCCTCCGCAGACTCCAGAAAGCGCGCCAGGTACTTCTCCAGATACCTGCAAAAAAGTCAGCCTGGCTGGCTGCCCTTCCGCACTCGCCACCCCTGCCTGCATTCGTGCTTCCCAGTTTTACCCACACCGGCTCCGCAACTCCAGATCCCCCAAGCCTCTTTCAACCTTGGAGAGGCGGGTTAGAGATGGTGCAAGTTGCCTGCACCATCTTCTCTGAAGATACTTGCCTCTGACTGCCCGGGTCCAAAGGGAACCAGGGAAGCTATGCTGTGCTGGCCCTTGGAGGACTGACAGTGATCGCCTCGTTAGCGCTCTAGGCCTTCCATCAAGAGATCCCAGAACTTGGTGCTGCCACAAATTGAGGAAACCCAGGCTAGTGACATAGAGAGGCTCCGGCTAGTCATCAGCCCTTGGTCTCCTAATGGAGACCAGACATTTGAGAGCAGTGAGAAGCCCTTCCGACTGAGCCCTCTGAATTCCTGGCACACTAGATCATGCTGTAGGAATAATGCATTGTTTTAAGTCATTGAGTTTGTAGAATGCTTCAAATACTAAGAATCCTAGCTCTTAGGATACTAGAGTTTTAAAATGAAAGTAATAATGCCTGATATTTTGAACATCTATCACTGTAGCAGACACTTTGAAGTCAACGTGCATTATCTCATTTAAAGAGCTCTAATAAATCCTAACTACTTGGGAGGCTGAGGCAGAAGGATTGGAAATTTGAGGCCAGCTTCAGCAACTTGGTGAGACCCTTCTCAAAATAAAATAAAAAGGGATGGGGAATGTTGCCCAATGGCAGAGTGTCCCCTGGGTTCAATCTACTGTACTATAAACAAAGCTCTAACAACTTAGAAAAGTATACTTGATTGGTAAGTGGTGGTAAGTAGTATAGCCAGGATTTGAATCCAACTTGGCATTGAAGCTTGTATCTTTTCTTGCACTTGCTCTATTCTTGGTGGGACTGTGGGAAGGGGAATCTAGGTTCTTGGAAACTTCAACATTCCAGGGTGCTAGACTTACAGGGTCTTGGAACTCCAGACTTCAGGATCCTGGAATTTCTGTTCCTTGAGACTCCATACCTGGAGGCCTGTCCATTGCCTGGCCTATCAGTTCTTTGACTGACCTCCTCTCCTGTGATTCTGTCCTCTATCCACATTTACCTATGCACTCCTGTGGCCACTCCCTCAGGTTGGACATCATTAGCATCCCATCTTCAAAACCGCAGCCTCACCCATGCCACTGTGTGGGTTCCTCATTCTTCTGGCTCACTTGCTCTGATTTACACCCCTCACAGTCCTGCCTCACTGAGCCCTCTGATCTGGTGGTCTTCCCACTTCTCAGTCTCTGTCACCTCTGTGTACCTTCTTACACGCTCAGATTCACTCCCTTGCAACCTCCCTAGCTCTCCAGCCCCTCTCCCACCATCTGGCTTTCCTGGCGAGACCCACCATACTGTGTGCTATGGCTGAGCTGCTGCCTCCAGCAGCCAGTTCTGTCTCTCTGCTTGCCCAGTTGCTCTTTCCCTCTTCTCCCCTCTCACCTGGAAGACTCCACCATTTCCTCATCAGTGACATGCCACTTCCTGGTGGACAGCCCTAGCCCCTAAGCAGGTTCCTTATGGCACATAGTTCTGAGCCCCTGGCTGGGTGGGCTCCATGATATTGGTGTCCAGGGAAGAGGGGAAGGGAGAGGATATTCCTGCATTCACCCTGGGAGTCTGGGACAAGGGTGCAGCCTCCAGCTGCACTTTAGGATCCAAGGCCCAGGGCCATGGGGCCACATCCTTCCCACTCCCTGCTGGACAGTGGCGCTCCCCTCCCCAGGCTTACCTGCCGACCGCAAAGACAGTCAGCCCAATGGTGAGGTTCTGCCGTCTGGCCTCTCGCTGGGCTATATCTGGGTCGAAGGTGCCATCCCAAATAATGGGGGCCCCCCAGGAAGTACAGGTCAGGACTTCAGGCCGGGCCCTGGCCAGGACAAGAATGGAGAGAGCTCTAGTCACCTACTCATGGATGCATGATTACTGCCATCTCCCCTAGGGACCTAAGATGCATCAGACCAGTCCCTGTCCCTAGGTCGGAACCACCCCTAGACAGTTAAAGGAGAAGTATGACCCAGTGGGGCCCCTGGGGTTGGTGGTGCAGTGCTTGGATCTGTTGGAATAGCACTTGAAAGGAGCACAGGGGCCTGGGACAGAGGTCTAGGTTTGTGGACATTCTCAGAGTGGGGGGGAGGGGAAGGATAACTCCTTACCAGGGACGCAGGACACCTGTGAAGTTGTCTTTCATCTGGAGCATTGTGGCTGCAGGGCAGACACCCATGGGGATGAAGACTTCCAGCTTCCTAGGGGGTGGGGGCGGCAGGAAGTGGCATGTCACTTGCTCAGGAGGGAGGACTCACAAGGACACTTGCCCAGGCCAAGCTAGCCACCACCCTCCATCTCTCAACAAGGCACTTGGAAAGAGCCACTTTAAGTGTAACCCTGGTGATGGTCCCATCTCAGGTGCTGGGGAAGGGATTTGTACCTGAATATAGGGAGCCAGTTCAGAAGGAGCAACCCTAAGAGGCCAAGTGCAAGCAGGATCAGTCGCCAGAAGGTTCTCTTCCTGGGCCTGGAAGGCAGGGGGATCAGCAGCCCATTTACACACACACACACACACACACACACACACACACACACACACACGTATGCACATGCAAGGTAGAAATCATTTTTTTGTGATTTTAGTGCTTCATTTTATTTTATTTTGAGTAAGAATAACTGTTTAATGGTACAGACATTCAAAAGGATGAAAGATAACACTGAAAAGTTCCTTCCTGTTCCTCCGCATGGAAACAGCCAGAGGGACCAGTGTCATGTCATTCCAGCAGTGGTCTGTGCATACACAGGGAAGGGTGAATGTGGTGGCAAGTACTCTCACTTCCTTTCTTTTAGTTCCCCAGAAATGGTAGCACAGTGGACATGCTGTCCTGCACCTTTTCTTCCTCACTGACCAGTATGTCTGATTATCATCTCAGCACTTAGAGAACTCCCTCACCCTTTTGTCCAGCTGCCTGATGTGCCACGGAGTGGACATAGCCCCAACTGCCTAACCAGGGCTCGTCTGATCCTTTCCTCTGGACAACAGTGGTGCTGGTCATGACTTTGGGCAGGCACGGAGGACAGGAGCATCAGGGCTTTGGGGTCTTAGCCTGGGGAGGGATGAGGATGACCTTGGACAAGAGAATAGGCCAGAGGAGGCTACCGATTAACTTATAGGTTGGTGGCTGGGAGTGAAGAGCTGTCTGGGACCTAGAGATGAGGTCAGGCTGGCTGTGGTCAGAGACCATGTGCCTGTGGCAGCCCCAAGCCAGGCTGGGGGAAGAGTTCCTTCCGCAGACCTTAGTGGCCTAATTGCTGGCTTAAGGGAGGTACATTTGGAATTTGTCTATGGTAAATCCAGGAAGGGTCTCAAATGTTGAGAATCTTCTGCAACCACATGGTAAGGAGCAGACACGGGGGCCAGACCCTCAGGTTTGAACCCCAGCAGAGGGCTGGGGGTAGTAAGCCCGCAGAGGGCTGCCGTGGACTCTGAGATAACATGAGCTGAGTGATTAGAATGAGGGGCTTACACACCGTAATCGCTCCCTCCACTGTTGATGATGACTCTTCCTAACAGATCCTCATCATGCCCTGGGCAGCCTCTAGCTCTGCCCCCTGCCCTACGAATCCTTCCAAATCCCAGCTCCCCTGCTAAGAAGGCTGCCTGCCTCAGACCCTCCGCCCCTGCCTTTTCTGCTATCCTACTTAAGGGATGCTTGAGAGACGAACCCAGGAGAGGCTCTGAAAACCTTGGAGTGTGTGTGTGTGTGTGTCCACCTGGACACCGTCTCAGCACACAGCACCTCCTTCTATTCATCTAGTCAACCTGAAACCTGCGGCCCCCAACCACTCTCTCTGCTGCATCCACTGTCTGCTGTCAGCCCCTGGGTTGGGTTGACTTGTCCTTCTTGATCTCGCCCCTTCCCGTCCCTCCAGCCACTGCAGTCTCCATCATGATCCTAGCCTGATCATCTGTCACCAAGACCATTGCAGGAGTTCCCTCGCTGCTCCCTGTCTCTCCCTGCACAGCCCCCAGAGCCATCTTGTAAAACATTACCTCCTTTAATAGTGTCTGTGTCACACAAACAGGTGAATCCTCGAAGAGATGCCTCCAGTAGGCAAACATATGGAAAAATGTTCACCCCCCACTAGTAATCAAAGACATACAAATCAGAGCAAGGTGGTCGGTTTTGCCTATAAAATGAACACTTTAAAGAACAGACAGAATGAAAACAGCCCAGCTTCCAGCACACGGCGAGGCACGCTCTCTTATGCTTGCTGGTGGCTGTGTGGATGGTTGGGCCTTGTGGAAAGTTTCCTGGCTGTGGGAATTGAACTCTTCGAATGCTCATTCCCTTTGATTCAGTAACCCCAGTCACTGGGAATCTGTTCAAAGGAGGTAGCCTTCAGGGTGGGGAACAAAGGGTGCACATGGAGACAGTCGTCAGATTCTGTCTAGATATGCTTTCGACATGTCCAGACTGGGCACAGGTACAACCTTAGGCACTCAGAGGTGTGGAGCCAACATACGGTGTGGGGTGGGGACTGAGAGGACAGGTGATGTGGCAGACTGAAAGCATGAAGGAACCAGTGCTCAGTGAATGTTGAGGAGAGCGTTCATGAGGTGTGGAGGACGAGCAGAAGGGTGGCCTCGAGCCCTGACAGAAAGTGAGGAAGTTGGGAGGCTTCCTGGAGGGGGTGACCTATCAGCTAGGACCTGAAAAATTAGAAATTATTCAAGCAAAGGAGGAAGTGAAGGGGAAAGGGCGATCATGAGCAGGAAACACAGTGAGGAGATGGAATAGAGCTGGGTGGGGCTGCAGGGCCTTCTGCCAGGCCGCCAGGGCCCACACTGCAGGCTCAGGGCCTTGGGCTTCATCTTGAGGGCCATGGGGGAGCCTGGGAAGGTATTTCCTCCAGGGAGTGCCACAGCCAGAGTTTTATTTGGAAAATAAAAAAATGTGTACCTAGTCTGAACCGTGGAGCCCGGACAGGGTGTGCTGGGAAAGGGAGGGGCTGGAGGAGGCAAGAAAATGAGGTGGAGGTGAGGACATCTGTGCCCGCTGTGGGAGCTCTGGGGAGCACAGCAGGTGTGGGGGGCTGGGTGGGGGAAAGTAGGAGGTGAAGGGCTGTCAGGCAGGGGGAATGAGCAGGGGGAATGAGCCACCAGTTGAAGGGACAGGGCTGTCTGCTTTTCTGGTTGTGGTAGAAGCCCAGAAGGCACGCAGGCTCGGGAGAGAGTTCTGGGGGCTCTCCAGGAGGGCAGGGGTGCCATGGGAGAGAGCATGGAGGGAGAGGAGGCCGGGCCCAGGCTTGGAGGGAGACAGTGGGAAGTGGAAGGTGCTGTGTGGGTGACTTCTCAGAAGCTGAGCTGTAAGCAGGAAGGACACAGGATGGAAACTGGAAGGGGCCAGGGCTGGGGTCAAGGGAGATGAGTGTTTATTTGACAAGAGGGAGACCATCTTGATGACTGCTGCCTAGAAAACATCCACAGAGAGGCGTCTGAAGTCACAGGGACACTCACTATCTGAGCTGCTCAGGTACCACTCAGGCAAACCTGAGAAAGGCCCCAGCATCTGGCCAGAGTGACTGGCTAAACACATTGTCATGGAGACCCTGCAGTCACACAGGAAAATGCATACCCTGGAGCATGAAAGGAAAAAAAGCAGGATCTGAAAGTGATGGCAATTTTGCAAGAATGAAAAAGAGTCTGAGTAAAGGAGAAAACTGTTTTTATATTGCTTTTTTTTTTTTTTTTTGGTACTGGGGATTAAACCCAGGGGCACTTAACCACTGAGCCACATCCCCAGCCCTTTCTATATTTTATTTAGAGACAGAGTCTTGCTAAGTTGCCTAGGGCCTTGGTAAGTTGCTGAGGTAGTTTTAAACTTATGATCCTCCTGCCTCAGTCTCCTGAGCTGCTGGGATTACAGGCCTGCACCACTATGCCCAACTATATTGCTTTTATAAAGAAGAAAAATACAGGGTTAGCAATTTACAAGGAAAAAAGTTATTGTATTGCCTCCTTCTGACTTCAGGACAAAGTCTACGTCTCTCAGTGCTGCCTAAGGAGCCTTCAAAATCTGAACCCTCCATCACTGCATTTCATTGTTCCCCTTCCTCTCTTCCTGCCTCTAGGCATGGACACTCCACAGTGGACAGTCCAGGGATGTTCTTGGGGCATTGTTTGTAAAAGCAAATGGATATCAATAGCCTCAGTGTTCACCAGTAGGAAACTGGATGAAAGAATCATGCATATCTATTTAATGGAAGTTAACATGGCCCCTAAAAAGAATGAGATCGACAATAAGAGACCCTAATATGTTAAGTGGAAAAGGAGTAACAGGACTCCCTGAGGAGGCAGATCTCACTTCCGTGAGGAGAGGCTCCTAGGCCGTATGTCCATGAACTCACACATATACATCCACGTTCTATAAATGTGTAGCGAGAGTCTAGACAGAACAGCATGGGCCAGCGATATAAAATGTGAGCCACATAGATGATTTAAAATTTCAAGGTAGCCACATTAAAAAAGTGAAAAGAAACAGGTGAAATTAATTTAAATAGTATTTTTATTGAACAGAACATATCCCAAACATCCTTTCAACATGTACTTGATATAAAAATTATTGAGCTATTTTCCAGACTTGTTTTGTGCTGTGTCTAAACACTCAACCCAGCGTGCATGTTAGGCTTACAGCACACTGTGGGGGCCCGTCGGCCCATGTGGCTTGTGGCAGTTCTATGTTGGACAGTGTGGATTTAGAGGAGAGGCACCAGCTGTTGGTGGTGGACTCAGTGGAGGGTGGAAGGGGCGCCACACCCCCACCTCCTCCCTGACGGTGTGCAGTGAGCATCGCTCCTTCTGCCATGTACCAGCTAGTTGCCTCCATCAGGCTCTGCATGCCTGGAGCCCCTAGTGGGGCTGATCTGGGCATCGTGAGTGCAGTGACCTGCAGGCATTGGTGCTGTCTGAGCTCTCTATTTGAGGGTCTCACAGCATCTCAAATACATATGGCCAAAAAGGAACCTCGATTTTCCTTAGAAACCTGCACCCACTCCATCTTCTCCATCCTGGCAAGTGACGCCATGATCCTTCCTCTGCCCTACTGCACACAGGCCTTGGAGTCTCTCCCGAGGCCTCTTTTTTTCCCGTTCTCCACATCTAATTCTCCAGCAAGCCCGTGCCCCCCCCAAAAAACACACTCAGTCTGTCACTGGCCTTCCCCCGCTTCTCACTGCACTCCAGGCCATTGTGCCCCACACCTGGACAACTCCCCCAGGCCACCTCACCAACCTCCCTATTTCTACGACTGCCCCCTACAATCCATTCTCCAGAATGATCTTTCAAAATGTTACTGAGATCCCACCCCTCCCCTTGCCAAGGTCTTCTGATGATATCTCACTGCTCTTAGAAAAAAATCCACACCAGGACCGCCTCTCTCCCCCAGCTCTGTGTGGCTCTCCCCCATTCCTGCGCTTGCCGCCCAGCCACGCAACACATCTTTGCTGGGTTCCCACTGCCTGTTCCTCGGGACTCGGTTACAACTCTTTGCACTCCCTTCTGCACCCGTCTCGATCCTTCACCTTCCCAGTGAAGATGACTTCGTGTCCAGTCCCATCTTTGTTCAGACCGCTTTCCCATCCTCTGCCAGTCAGGTTGCTGGCTTCCTCAACACCTCCCATTCCCCTCCCCAGGAGGTTCCTCTGGCCCTTGCCAACCTGTGAGGGCACAGTCTTCCCTGTGGGGCTGAGTGCCCCTGATTCATCAGCCTTGGGACTCTGCCCCAAAGCCCGGAATCTGCCTCATACTTGGTGTTATTAAATAATGAATAATTTGTTCAGTAAATGGCTGGGGTGCTTTCTCTTCATCCTTTCCCAAACTGACTATTACTCATTTGCTTTAAACTCCATTTTTTCCCAGAATTAAGTCTGCACTCATTAATAACCCCAGACACTGCTAAGACATGTACAGAATTAAGTCTGTACTCTACTGTCTTGTTGAAGTCTGACCACAGTCCCTTGCAGAGGGCACTAGGATTATTTCCACCTTGGGAATGAGGAGATTTCAAAGCTCAGAAAAAGTTAAATCACTTCCTCAGCATCTCAAGCTGGCAGGAATGAGTCTTGAGTTTGGGTCTGACTTCTGAGTAGGGCCTCTAATGGCATTTGGGCTCCTTGGGACTGGATCCCTCTGCAACCCGAGCACCTCTCACAAGGATGCCTGGCTCCTCCCAAGTGACCTGTGGTCAGTGGCCAGTGTCTCTCCTGCAAGAAGCCTCCCCTTCCACACTTTGTCTTCGGCCCCTTCTGGACTCCTGGAAGACTGGCCGCAGCTGTGCTTTTCCAGTTTCCGGAAGCCTGAGTCCGTGGTTCTGGCAGCCGGCAAGTTTGGCCGGGCTGCAGGGGTAGGAAATGGCGGGGAGCTGGCCATTCACTCTCTGCCTTATCGGCTTTCTTGGCCCTTTTAACCAGCCCCAGACCCACCCAACCAGGGTGGGACAAGCCAAAGTTTATCTTGGGCACTGGTCTGTCAGGGTAGCCAGGCAGAGCTGGTCCTGAGTGGGCCAGGCAAGCTCACATGGTCAGCTCAGGGTGAGTGCTGGTGCCCAAGCCTGGGGTGGGGACCCACCAGCTCCACGCGCTATTCCTGTGCCCCAGTCTGGAGCCCTTACCCTATAGGTACCCACTCCTCCACATTTCTTGGTCAAATAGCCTCAAAAGGACCTGTCTGGCCCTGTTCCACCAGCAGAAGGTGGTCCCTCAAGCCCCTTCCATGCCCTGCTCTCCCTCCTCCCTTTTAGGATCAGCCATTAGTCCTCCAGGAAGAACAAGTTCCTAGTCCTGGACAGGGAGGCCCACCAGGGGACTAAGAACCTCTCTGACTTTTGCTCTCTACCTCACCAAGAGAAGAGGAGGCACCCAGCTCTTCTCCAGGTACACAGGTCTCATACCCCGCAGTCCCTGCATGGCTGTGTGAGCCACCTTTTCCCAGGGCTTGTGGCTCAGATGGTTCTCGCTAGCTAACATTGGTGCCTCTCCTTTGACTGTTCTGACCACCAGACTGCACCTCTCACAGGTTGGCTGTCCCACTGTCCCCACTCCCTGGCAGTTCCCCACTCACCTCAGTCCTTCCTTGAGAGCCATAGAAAGGAGCCAGTGGGGCAGCCGCCACGAACTTTCTCAGCTCAGAGCTGGGGAAGAAATGACCTCTTTCCCGTGGTAGGGACAAACCAGCTCCTTCCTGCCCCTAGCCTCAGGAGCCACACCCACAGAAGCAATCAGAGATGAGGTGTAATGAAGGAAGCTGGTTCCAGGGTAGGGTGGGGGGTGGTAACCCCCCCAGGGGCCAATCACCTGCTAGAGGGTGGATCTGAGTGCGGCCAGCTCTGGTTGGCCAGGGACTTGGAGCTATTTGTACAGACTTCTTTTCCCTCTCCAGGGGTCCTAAGCCCTCTTCAGAGTCTTGTTCCTGGGACTGGCAGGGAACTGGGTGGGAAAGGGCTAAGGTGTTCCCATGGGGGAGAGCCCTGTTCCACAGAGCCCCAGCTAGAGCTGAGGGTACTGGGCACTGTGACCTTGAGCAATCCACTTCTCAAGAAAGTGGAATACACATGCCCAACACTCAGGCCAGTGTGAGATAAGATCAGGGCTGTGGAACAAGTTGTGTGAAGCTCACACTACCTATTTTCAAAAATGCATGTTTTGTCCATCAGAGGTACAGGAAATTAGTGGATTGTGATCAAGATTTTAAAACGTTGAAATAAGATTGAAAAAACAGCATCAGAATGTACAGTATGCATCTGACAGGTAGGTGTTGTTGCATGAAATTTTGGTTCTATTTTAAGTGTGTAGGCACCATTGGGAAATATTTTTTAAAACTAAAGGTCAAGATGGAAAGTTAACCAAGTTCTGTGTAAAGTATAAGCAACAGGAGCAAATGTATTTTTAAGGAAGCACCCTTTAAACTTACAATAGGTTCCCACTCTAAGAGTGGGACCAATAAAAATTAAACAAAGGAATGAATACACACATATCCCCCTTATTTACTCACTGAGAATGTTTTTAGAATAAAATATTAATTCTAAGCCTAAAAAACAAAACCCCAACAACCTTACAATAGTGAAGAAAACACAAATGTTTAGCTGTGAAAGACTATGCTCTTTCATTCCCTCTCTTCATCACACACATACCAGCAAACTGGGGTGGGGCCTGGTTTTCATTTTTCGCAGGAAAAAAGTCAAGGTCCAGAAGCAGAGAGAATTGCCCAGAGGGCTGCTGGCTGCAGTGAACCTGTGCACACGCCCTGTGTGCCTTAGCAGAGGGAAGAGGTGCAGGCAGCTTCCTGCTGCGGTCCCCATCCTGGTCCCAGGACTCTCCACTCAGGCAACTACCCAAGCCTCCCTGAACCCTCTGGCTTCCCAGTGTTCCCTGCCTCTGGGACACCAAGCTTTCCAGGCCCTGGTCCTACTGGATACCAACCAGTTTGTTTCTCCTCCTCCTCAAGTGGGTAGTTACATTTTAACAGGCTCTCCAGAGAGGAGTCACCAAGATAGGGAGGGTATTGGTTCTTAAAAGTTACTGTGACTAATCCGATTCAATACAGGTGGGGCTGAGCCTCAAACCCACATTCCTAACAGACACTTTAAGGAAAATCCCAATCCTGGGGAAGGAGCAGTGAGGCAGTAGTCTCCTTACTGCCCCATTCATATCTGAGGACAGACTCCTTTCTATGTGCCCAGCCCTCCTCTTCAGGTAGCTGTAACTGCTAGATGGCCAACCCCAGCCACTGCTGGCCACTTACACCTCACCCAACGTAGCCAGCATGGACCAACTCAACTGCATGTCTAGTCATATTATTTGTGCCCTCCCACACTGCCTGGTGTGGAATGTCCTTCCTCCTACTTTAGGCAAGGCTTAGGTGTTACCTCCTCTGTATAATCATAAAATAGGCTTGTAAAGTGCTGAGTGAACCAGAGGCATCCAAGGGCTCTTCTGGACACAGGGCAGCTCTCTCCAAGGCCATCTGCTGGGGGATGAAGTCTGGGTTCTGGCCCAGGCGTTCCAGATGCTGCTGGCCCACCAAATCTCCCAGGGGGACTCAGAGCTGAAGGGGCTTCTGGACCCTCCAGCTCTAAGGGACACCATGTGAACTGGGGCTAGGAGCAACCTCAGATGATCTGGAGTCCCAGCCAAGCATGAAGGATATGCTGTTCAGTTGAGGTGGATGTCTCTCCCTCAACCAGGGTCCATTCCTTTTCCTTATGGGTGAAAAGTAGCCATTTGGCTTCAGACTGATATCCCCAGGGGAGAAAGGCACAGAAGAGGCAGATTTTGCAAATTTATTTTTAAAAAAACAAAAAGGTTAAAAAAGTCCTTCATTTCCAACCTTGCCTGGGGGTGTGGGTGGGGAATAGAACAAGCTGAGAAAGGTGCCCACCCCTTCCTGTGAAGAGTCCAATTCTTCCCCCAGGAGCCTGCAAGGACAGGGCAAGTCAGAGGCAGGTCCTCACCCTTCCTGCCCTGCCTCCTCCTCAGGTAGCTGTAACTGCTGCTAGGAAGTTTTATAAGCTAAAAAGTGTGGGAGTGGGAGGTCAAAGGCTGCCTTCTTCACACCAACAGTGACTGGCTGCTCTCTCCCTGCTTAATTCTCTGGGGCCCCACCACTTGGGCTCCCAGGGCGGGCAGGCAGGCAGACCGACCCAGAGGCTCAGCTGAGGTGCCCAGCCCACCGGCAGTTTCCTTAATGCTGTTTGTGAGGCAGCAGGGCAGTCAGGGGACGTCACAGTGTGGGGAGGGGCTTAGAGACCTCTTGACTCCTCTGGAGGGGGACTTGCCTCTCCCTAGAGGCTGCCCTTCTTTTCTATTCCCCATCCTCAGGCGGAGTGGAGTCCAGGACAAAGCACTAAGTGGCCATTTGCTACAAAACACCTGGAGATGCCAGAGGGCAGCTGTGGACTGTCTGTCAGTCCAGGCTCCCACAGTCACACAGTCACACACACAGCATTAAGGCGTCTATGCCAGCAGGCACGGCCAACCTGGGCCCAGCTTCTCTCTCTCCACCTGCACCTGGTGTAGGGAAGCCCCTGGCTGCTGCCGAAACAGGCTGAAGGGGAGAAGCTGGCAACGGAAGGTTCACCAGGCCTGGAGAAGGAAGTGGAGGAAGGAAGGCAAGGGCGCTCCAGGCCTCGCTCAGGCCTGCTGGCTGCCCTTGGAAGGAACCCAACTTAGGTTGGGAAGCCCTGACCATAAACCCCCTGGAAAACGGGGGACAGAGAGAGGGGAAGAGAGCGGGGCTAGAGTACTGGGACTTTGGAAGAAGCCAGTGCTATCAATATATACAAGCATAAAGCCCCATCTTCTGTGCCACCTCCCTCTCTGCCCCTCCCACAGAAATGAAAGGCCCCTGAGAGCCATTGAGGAGGGCCCAGACCTCCTCACCAGCCATGCCCCTAGGGAGGCCCCTTTCCTCCAACTAGCCCCAGTTTCTGGGGCCCTCAAGGAATGTCTGTCTGGCTCTGCTCAGTTGGGGGGAGGACCCCTGGGCCAGGATCCTGGCTGCCCAGCCAGCCCTAGGAGTCCTTGAGCATGCTGATGCGGGCGTAGATTTTGAGGGCGGGGCCCAGCTTGATATTCATGGCGCTCATCAGATGGTCCTCCTTGAGCAGCAGCAGAGCTTGCCCATCGATTTCCTGGGCTCGGAATTCCTCTGCTATCTCCTGGCAGCCTGAGGGGACACCACCAAAATCAACATCAGTTAAGTGGCCAGTGTCCACGCATGGTAGCCACTGCACTTTAGAGACCTTCTCTCCTTCAATCCTCACAGCCATACCTTGAAGATGGTGTTGCTACCTTGAGGCTTGAGAGAGGCTAAGTGACTGACCCCAGATAGCCATGATCCAAACATCCCCATTCACGACCTTGCTCATACTTCCCTAGATAACCAACAAGATGGTGCACACTGATAGGGTATGATTTCCAAGGCTAGGTCACAAAGGGCACAGCAACTTTCACCTTGTTCTTTCAGATAGCTAACCTCCCTGTAAGGAGATCCTTCAAGCAGCCCTCTGGAGAGGCCCATGTGAGAGCGACTGAGGCCACCTGCCAAGAGCCAGCCTCACTTGCCATGTGAGGCAGCCACGGTGGAAGTGGATTCTCTGGCTCAGACCTTCAGTGACTGCAGTCCTGGTTGACATCTTCACTAAGATCCTGCATAAGCTCCTGAGCCAGGGCCTTGATAGAGCCATTGCAAATTCCTGACCTTCAGATAGGGATTTTTGTATCACAACAATAGGCAACTAATATAGATTATGGTATCTGAAATAGGGGTGTGGCCATTAAAAAACTCTAAACATGTAGATGGGGCCCTGGAACAGGCATGGGCAGCAACTGTAATAACTCTGAGGAGGGTCAGTTAATATGGAAGGTGCGCTGAGCTGGTAAGCAAAGTCCAGTGGCCTCTGAGGCAGCTGCTGAGGAGGTTTAAAAAAAGTAAGGAAACTGCTATGAGAGATTGAAAGAAATGGGAATTTCAATTTCATATTGTTTTTGAAATAGCAGAAACTTTCTTAATGCTGTTTGGTGGTATAACATGCTGAGTTTAAAGATCCCAACGAACAGTGTGAATAGTTAAGGAGATTTCGGGAAGAATGCCAAAGGCGTTGCCTGGCTTCTCTTTGTTGCTCATAGTAAAAAAGGGAGGAGGAAAGGTTAGGTAAAGAAAAAGGTGTTCAATGCCAAGGAGCTGGGGAAGACTTCCGGGCCTCTCCAGATGGCAAACGATACTGGAATTATAAAATGGTTCTAGCCCAAGTCAAACCCAGGGCACAACCAAGAAATGATTTTCTACCCATGAAATGGAGGGTATGGCAAATCCTTTGTTCAGATTTCAGGAAGCTCTAAGGTGATGCCTTAGGGGCTCTCTAAGGAGTCGGGCAGCCTCACAGAATGTTCAACACAGGACTCCGTTCACATTTCAACATGGTGAAAGGTTTATCTGGAAGACAATTTTGGGTGTGGTTTTTGTCTAATGGAATATACTACTACAAATATTTTAAGAGAATTATATGGATAACCAAATTCTGAATGTTTTCTCTGATATAAGGAGGCTGATTCATAGTGGGGTAGGGAGCGGGAGCATGGGAGGATTAGAGAAACTCTAGGTAGGGCAGAGGGGTTGGAGGGGATAGGAGGGGGCATGGGATTACTAATGATGGTGGAACGTGATGATCATTATTATCCAGGTATGAAGACACGAATTGGTGTGAATATACTTTGTATACAACCAGAGATATGAAAAATTGTACTCTATATGTGTAATAAGAATTGTAATGCATTTCACTGTCATATATAAATAAAAAAAGGAATTATATGGGTAGAAATATTGGACTGGAAGGTCAGACAATATAAAAAAAAGGCAGTAGGAAGTGGGCTAAAAAACCTGCCACATTAAACAATCAGAATTCCCTTCACAAAAAAGGAAGGATGACTCAGAGGGTGGAACTAGAGGTGAGCAAGAATCACTCCCAGGCTGAATCTTCACTGAGAAAATGCCAACCTGTGCTTTACTGTATTGGGAACTGGTGTGGATCAGTGGCTCTGGTACGTTCTTTGTTTCCCCTTTTCGAGTGGGCATGAATTATTCTGCACCTATTCCATTACATGCTGGGTGTGTGTGTGGATCGGGGGGGACGACAGCCTGTGATTAGTCCTCACTGTCTGCAGACTGCAAAGAACCACACTTCAGGAGCTGGACCCATGGAACCTCATCCATGCTAAGACCCGAGTAGAAAACAAGACTCTGGACTTCAACTAATGTTGTCTTGGGTTGAGACTCCTGGGGACTCTGGCAGGAGGGCAGGGTATTTTGTATACGAAGGAACTTGAACCATGTTGAGCAAGGGTTAACCCACCTCCAAATGGCTCCCAATAATCCTTACTTACTGTACTCATGTCTCTGTGAGTTCCTCAATGGATAGGGCTTATTGTTATGACCAATAAGATATACAGAAGTGACAGTACGTGACTTCTGAGACTAGATCATCAAGTGCACACTGGCTTCTGCCTTGCTCTCTTGGATTCACTACCTGTGGGGGAAAACTGTGACCATGTATGTTATGAAAACAGCAAGCAGCCTCTGGAGAGGCCTGTAAGGAGAACAGGCCTCTTGCCAATAGCCAGCCTCCACTTGTGCATTTGCATGACTGAGGTGCCTTGGGAAAGGATCCTCTGGCCCCAGCAAAGCCTCCAGATCTTGGCCTTAGCTGACCCCTGCAAACTCATAAGACATCCTGAGACATGCAATCCTCCAGAAGTCTTTCCCTAATGTAACTGTGCTATGACAGATTTGGGGAATGTAGCAACAGATGAAAATTCATTGAGTTAAGTGACAGAGCCAGGGTATGAACCAGTTCTGTGATTTGGAAGTCTGTGTTCCCAACTACTATGCCACTGGATGAATAAGACTGGCTGAGCAGAGGGAGCAGCTCTGGGGTTCCACTGACCATCTGGGAATGACACAAGTCTGCCAGTCTGGGTTCCAGTCCTCATAGCTGTGCACACTTTGCCCCAAAGGCTACGTGCGGTCCCAGCTCTGTCCTGCATTTCCATGTCTTCTTCCTCAGTGCAAGCTGCTCCAGGGGACAGTCTCTCCACCTGGTAAAAGCGCACTTGCCCACTGTTGCTCAGTTTAAATTTTCTCAATTTTGACGTCCTCCTTGACAGATTTCCTACATTGTCACCTATCTCCCCTCCCAGCCTGCCCCAGGAAGAGAGATGGAGTAAATTTCATTATCATCTCTGCATTTTATGCAGACCACCTACCACACCAGTAGGTATTTAAAATTAGAACTGAGGAATATTATTTATAAGATGTGTTCTATGCTAAAAAATAAGCTTACATGCAGGCGCTCATGTCACTCATTTCTGCACCCCAGATCCTACACCCGAGCCATTAAATGAACTACCTAATCCTTCCTGATGGAGTGAGGTGAGGTCTCCCGCTCCCTTTCATTCCTTGCTATTCCAGGCAAGGGCCTTACCTGGCAGAGAGCGGATGAATTCGTAGACATCTTCTACATTCCATTTGGTGGGCTCACTTGGAAGGAAGTGGTGTCCCATGCCCACCAGGTCCCGCATGTGCATGTCTGGGAGCTCCAGGTCTCGCTGGCCTT